GGGTTCACCACACCACGAAGTGGTGGTGTAACCCATTATTGCTTTTTCTGATGTTTCTTCTCCTTCTCCTTTCTCCTTCTCCTGCCATTTTTAAAATGGATTCAGCTTCTTCATTTTAGGGCCTAAGGTCCTGAAATTTGGTATGGATATACAGTGGGCAAATACCCCTAGGCGTTTTTTAAATTTTTGTGATACAGGCTTTTAGAATGGTTTTATTTGAGTTTTTTGGCTGTGTTATAGCAAATGTATTACTGAGTTGGACATGAGTCATCACAATGGAATGCAGGGCATCAACCAATAGGCATGCAGCTTTCCTCTATTCTCCTTGCTGATTGGCTGTTGGAATTTAACAGGCTTAACTTAATTAATACCTGCTCAGATCCATTCCATACTGACAGTATGTCTGTATTCAAGTGTTTTGGTAGGTATTTCAAGCTTTCCTGCTCCAGCATTGGAATGCGGGGCATGAACACTTCTTTTTTTCTTTGAAAATCAACAGTTTGCATTATGCAATTAAAAATCCTAACCAATAAAGTAGGGAATAGCTATCCAACTGTTGTAGTCTTAGTTGTATGTTACTTCATACTATAGTTATATCAATGTAAATCATTGTTTTCCCTTGTGTTTCCCATTCTTTCCCTGCCATGTCGTAAAATGTGGTGAACCCATCGCTGTATTTGCTCCAAAGCAAATATTGGCCTTTCTAGTTTTTTAAATGACCTTATCCACACCCAGGAGATCGTTCAAAAGTTAGGGCATATCTCAAATTTATTAGATAAATTTATTTATGTTTTACAGATTTGCCGAAGATCTGTCAAGACCCATTGCGATTTTGTCTAATATTCCTAGTGCCTTGGTGCCGTCCGATTTGTAACGGCAACCTTAAAACCATTTTTTGGATGTTGCACCAAGGCTACATCGACAAGGCGTATTTAAAAAAGAATTCCATGTACATAGCATCAGGGAACATTTCAAAAGTCCTGATTGTTCGTCTGAAAACACCATTACTATTAGGACTTTAAGGACACTTTGAAATGTATTTAAGTTACATTTAGATATGACTTAAATGTACGGTAACATGTTTTGCTTTTGCTGTCCCAGCGACCAAGAGAAGCTGGGTTTCTGTACCCTTGAGTGCCCTGGGTACGAGGTGTTATGCAGCAGGGATGACTATGAGGTCCGGAGGTACGAGAGTTCCCTGTGGGTGTCTACTGTCGTCACTGACGTCAGCTACGTCACAGGGACAACACGGGCCTTCTGGAGACTCTTCAACTACATCACTGGAGAGAACGAAGAAGGTGCGAATTCGAAAAAAAAGTTAACAGACCATTTACCACCTTTCTTTTCTTCTATATCAAATTTCAATGAAAATTCATTATGAGGTGTACACGTAGGTGTATCCTTAGTGATTTAAACTTTTTTTAACAATTGTTGTACTCTTTCTTTACAAGTGCAAATTTAAGATATCCACTTCAGTCGATTTGCTATGTGTTTGTGTTCGTATCCCTTAAGAAATACGTCATTTCAGCAGTTAAATCTCAATAAGCTAAAATTCATTTTAAAGTGAACCTTTGGAAATAGCGTAGTATTGTTGATTAAACAACTATAACCTCAATGACAATTATACAGATCAGTTTTGATGGTACCCGTTACTTTCTAACCCACCAAGGCATAAATCTGGAGATGACCCAGCCGGTTCTCGTGACGATCCCCAAGGACAGGGACGGTTGGATCTTCCGCGATTACGTCGTCTCGTTCATGATTCCCAGGGTGCACTGGGGGAACCCTCCGCTACCGACTGACTCTACGGTGAGGGAGGGAATTTCGTACGATTGTGTTAAGAAATGGTTGAGAGCACACTTCAAGTTAGTGATAGTCTGGTATCTGAAGCTTTTTCAGCCACAGAGTCTTTCATCCTCTCGGCTAATACTTGAAAGAAACTACACAGCTGGAATAGGTTTGGATACCAAGCTACGTGAGTGATGTGTTCTTTTTGTTTTCTTGTCTCTCTCTCTCTCTCTCTGTGTGTGTGTGTGTGTGTGTGTGTGCGTGTGTCAGTGTGTTCCTCAATTTCTCTCTCTCTCTCTGCCCCATTTTCTCGGTCCCTCCGTCTTTCTCAGTCTCTCTATCTCTTTCTCTGTCTCCTTCTCTCTCTCTATTTAATTTACCATACAGTAGGTCAGGTGCTCTTTTTATGTGATCATCTAGCTTCAGCTGTTGTTTTTTGCTTCTCACCGTAGCTGAACATAGAAAGCCGGCCGGAGGAGGTGGTGTTTGTCCAGTCGTCCTCGGGTTGGCTGACCGGCTGGAACGCCGACACCATGCAGAAGGACCTGGTGGGGAAACTCCGGGAGAACGGGGAAGTCGTTGTCGACAATGGAGTCATCACCGCTACGTACCAGCCGTGAGTACTCTGTGTGGTCCGGTACGGTGGTGCGATCGCAAACTGAGGGTATTTCTCGTCGGTTTGTTCTATCACAGCATGCAAATTTTATGTCATCAAAACCGTACGATGGCCTGCGACGAGTGAGACCGCACCGTACTTTAAACTTGCACCCCGAGCAGAGGTTGGTTTGGGAGATCGCTACATCTTTCTGACTTGCCCGGCTTTCTGGCAGTTCCCCATCCGCCAGTACGCGGGAAAAGTCATCAGAACGTAACGTTCTGCGCATTTAATAAGCCACTTCTGCTTGGGGTGTAATTAGCACTGTCTGATGATTTCGACACACTTAACTATAGGTAGATGGACCTGGCACGGTATGCCCTGTCCAATGGTTTTGAACTTTAATAATAGTCTGTGACTAGTTGGGTAGCATAATAAATAGCTATACTTGTCTGTTGAACAATATGAAAAGAAGAAATGCTTGTTGTATTTTTTTAATGTCTTTGTGTTGAGAAACAATTGAACTAATACCTTTCCTCTCCTTCGTTGTCTCCCCAGTCCCTACCAGATGACCGACCGTCACAACGAGATCTGGGTCCTGGGAGGGGACGGCTACATCCGGGACTCCTACCTCCCGTCATGCCTCAGGGAAGCGAACGTCGGCGAGGTCATCCCGGTCAAGGATGTGCCTGAGGGGTGTGACGTCAGAGAGTGCGCGCCCTTCACCACTGTCGAGAGGAAGACTCCCAATAATTTCATCGAGAGGACCATGACGCCCAGTAAGATGTCCTTTCTCAGCGTCAGCAAACATGGCACGCGTGTTTGTAAGAATGAGGCCCAGAAATAGCTTTTATTCTGCAAAAGATTCGCTGCAGGCTTCTTCTTGAATGTTCTTTGTCATCCTCAACTGAGGTGAAGCATGATGATTCTCTTAAGTAGGTGAAGCATCGTGATTTTTTCTCGTACCTGCTAGTGCAATGCGGCTTCGCTACGTATACGTATCACGTACTTATCCAAGCATATCCTACTCCTCTCGATAAGTGTGCTGGGTTCTTTTGCGTGCAGAGATTTGACGCTATAATCATATATAAGCTCCCTCGGGGACGCCATCTCTGTGTCCCTATCTCGTGCCCATACACGGGCGCGACTCCAGGCAAAAACCTATCATAGAGACAAATTTCACGGGACAATGTCTATGAATGGAAAAGTGTATGTATAAGATACCACCTGTTTTCCTGTCCTCCGTACCACAGCTAAGGGAGTGTGTATGACGTCCAGCCCGGGGTCTGACTGGGAGGCGGGAACGTACCAAAACTACCTGCCACTGTACCGGTACCTCAACGGAGACAACAGCGAAATCACGAAGATAGACTCAACTCTGTCAACTTTCATGATGGTTGGTACAGTTTAATGCCGTAAAGAACGTCTTTTTTCGAAGACGTTGGGTTATCAATTGGGCGCCAAACTCTTCCGAGTTGCCTGTTACTTTTCATGTTGATGAATTTAAAAATTGTACATGTTAGCGATTTTTGTGACTTCATATTCTCAGATGCACACGGACACTTTCCTCTGTGAAGACTGTGCTCAGACCATCACCACATGCCTGACTCTACCGAATTCCGCCTATGACAACCCACCTCAACCGACGGACGACAGGGTAGATATACAATTCATCAGACATTTTAAGTAGATTAAACCTTGATAATATGATAGCAACGAGCGGTCATGTCATGTTTAATCTTAGCATCATAGAATGGCCGGTCTAATCATCAAATAATTGCTACGAGCGTTGGAATGACCAGGCTTTGGTATTGTTGCAGTAGAGTCTACAATTGTCTCTCGGTGGATTTCTGAAACTCTTCACATTTCTTTGGGCATTATTCTACTTTATCATTATTTCATAGCTGTTCCTCTACGAGGCACCTATGAGCAACTTTTACCTCATGGCGTTTACCGGCTATCCGACAAAGAAACACATGAGTAAGATGGCGGCAAAATTCATGACGATTCTGGATGAAGAAGGTGTGGAGTATACGAAGGTGAGTTCTACAAACAGTTGTGTGTAGTTGTCTTATACATGTATATCAAGTTCTTCAATTTTTCTAATATTCTTAGCCTTCATCGATGCCTATTTGAATGTGGTTCGCTGTACAAGCTGTGGTTGAGTTTCTTTGTCTTTAGAGAAATACATGTTATAATATAGAAAAGCAGCATCGAAGCAATCATTTGTCAGTTTTCTTGCTATCCAAGCAATAATAAATAGCTTGTCTGTGTTTCAGGACATGTTCTTTGCCAGCGGGTACGATGACTTCGCATCTAATAAATACACTGAGATCGCCTTCGCGAAGGGGACACCAGACGACCTGATCACACAGGAGATGCGGGAAAAGGTGAATACAATTTTACATGACGGACAACTTGTTTTTTTTCTTCAACGTAGCAAAGAACAAATCTTGATAAGGATTGCCTGGCCGTCTAAGATAAAATAAGATGACTAGTCTTAACAAAATCAGACGTAGATCGTTGAGTATAAAGTATACTGTCTTTGAAGTTCGCTAATGTAGGGAACAGAAAGAAGGAAGAGACTATGACAGACGCCCTGGACATCCTCCCCGCCAGTAGTATACATGACGTGCCGCCGGCGTGTCAGGGGCGGGAGTGTCCCGTGTACAAGACCGTCAACACTTACCGCGGGTTCGTCGAGAGAGCCATCAAGAAAGGTGTGTAAAACGGATATATAATTCTAAGTAGATATTTACAATGGATAGGGTACAAAAAGAGAAGCAACACCAGGGTAACAAGAGATCGTAGATTTCAGACTTCCGTTAGGTGTTTTGTATTTTCACGAATACATTCTAACTGTCAAGGGGATTGTGTGATGTAATCTAATCGGCATTGCAACACTTACTGTACAACACTTGCTGTAATTCTTGTACAATTATTACACACCGACACGTGTCTTGGTCATGCTCAACCATGACCTAGCTATTAATAAGCTATTAAAACCACTTCCAACTCTCTAGCAAGTGATGCCACTCTGGCACACAGGTATATACACCCCTTTACAACTGCCACCCAAAACAATATTTCCTTCCCGGAAGTAATAAACAGCAATTACCAATGTGAACCACCAACTGTCAGATAACGTCCATGTTAATGCCTGTGCTCTGCAGCTAAGTGGGCGTGTGTGGACACCAGCTCCTGTAACTACGAGAGCGCCAGTCTTAAGACCTTCTACCGTCTGCTGGACTATACCAGTGGACAGAACTCCGCGGGTGTCAAGATGGAGACGACAACGCCGATCCTCACCTGGGTGAGTAGAACGCAACTTACAGAAACAATGAAGGGAATTTAGTAACGTCCTTCTAGAATCCTGTATTGTAAATAGTGTATCTCCCATTGTTCAGTCTAGAGGCACTAAAGCGTTCCCCGTTTTTTATGTAGTTGATATTATCGTCAAGACGGTAGCGCTGCAATTTAAAAAAATATTCCAACAATATTGACAAGACATGGTGACGCCACACTCGAGTTTTCAACTTACTTTTTTATGCCACCACCAACGCAGAGGACTATGCTCATTTTCACCTGAATGAAGCGAGAAAAGTCGTGTTAAGTGCCACAGATTGAAGCTGGGTAACATCTGGACAAACCCAACCGGTAAGATGTAGATCTAACTTTATTTCTCTGTCCTGAACAGAACAAGCTGGATAACCTTGAGATGGGAGACTCCTGCAGCAAGGAGTACAGGACGTGCGTCATTCTTCCCGAGATGCACCAGGGCACTCCTCCCACGCCGTCAAACGACGAGGTTAGGAATACTTTAATATGGATTAATTGTTCCGACGTATGGATTTCTTTTTCTGATTGTCTTACCAAATGACGGAGAAGAAGTCTCGAAGTCAAAAGGTAAAGGTAGATAGTCCCATGGCCTTTTTGAGCGGCAGTGCGTTATCAATCCACGATGTCTATGGCACGGCATTATAAGGTCTAGTCCACCCCCTTTTCCATCGCCTTTTACCTCACCAACTGAAGGCAGGTACCCATTTTACACATTGGGTGGAGTCAAGTCAAGTCAATCTTTATTGCACAACAATTGTGTCGAAAGTCCTATAAAGTGCCGTTCCCAAGGACAGAACATCTAGCCGGGATTGACCGGGATCGAACTCGCGACTTCTTGATATCGTGTCTGCCAATCTGTCCATTAGACGCCACCAAAATATCTCCAAGAATTGACTGTGAAGTCTCATAAGGCCATAATTAATATTTATCCCCTTTCTCCAGGTGTACGTGTACAACAGTCGTGGGCCTCACGTTTACGTCATGCCATTCGGCGGTTACGCGACAAACGACAAGATAGAACAGGTCGCCAGGGAGTTCCGCAGTCGCCTGGATGCCGCCGGTGTACAGTACAAAACAGTAAGGAAATCTACGGCTAGATCTGTTGTACTTAAATGTTTCTTTACCATTTGAAAACTGGATTGCTATGGTTACATACGTGTTTTATTTACGCGTGACGCCAGCAAAAGGTTAAAGTTATTCCGAAGTCAATATCGCCCCCCGTCACGGTTGACGACTAAATTATGGTGATTATTGACAATGGCAATGAAAATGAGCTTAATGCATATATATATATTCACACCCTACATGGGCTAAATGCACTATGATAGATAACTGAGGTATAAGGGTAGGAGGAAGAAGTGCTTCATTATTGTATTACGCCTATACCTACAGGATATCTTCTCTCTATCTACTGAATTATGTCTATTTTTTCTACAGGAGTACTTCAAGGTTGTGGTCTACGATGGTCCACAGAAGACAGACCGGTACAACGAGATGTGGTTTGTCAAACCGCACGATGACGAGGACCGCGTGGTAGGATTTCGTTTCTTTCTAAAAAACAATTTTGTACGTTACGGCGCGGCCACATTGGTGGTATGATTTTGATGTCGAAGAATAGTCAAATAGGCTGTGACATAATTGACCGGCTACAAGGATCTCAGACAGCATTTTCAGTAACAAGAATTCTAAAATTAAGTACGACACATAGACGACTAACGCAAGAATGCCATCAGTTTTCCATCGTGCGACAATCGTACAACGTATGTAACCAGAAGGTCCGTAAGATCAGACTAGCTTTCGTCCTAAGGTCTAACCTTTCCTTCTAGGTTAGATCTCTACTCTAATGAATGATGAAAAGAAAAATGTAGTGGCCTTTGCCATGCTGAATTAAATACCATTACAGTTGCTAACGTGTTGTTTCTTGTGCACCTTGGCAGACATTCGATGTTAACACTTCAACTTACAAATCAGACACCGTGACGTCAGCCCCATCTCTGTGGGAGAGGAAGTGCAAGGCTTCCGGATGCCCTATATGTCCGGAGTGTCCGGAATTCGACGTCATCCGGAGCTTCAATAACTTCGACGAACGGAAAACACCTCGTGGTAGGTGAATGTCCTAATCATCTGATAACCCCGTTGATTCGCTGTGGCCTGCCTTTGAAAATGTCCATTTTGTTGCCTCCGGGTACGGAAGTATTGTTTTGGGTGTCTAAATTGCGTATCTCTTTGTCCTAGCAGCAGCGGTTGTGTGGAGGGTGGGAAGTGATTTTGACAGTGATTTTGATAGGGAGGTGACACAACACACGCCGGGTTGGAGTATAAAGTGGGTAGTACATGGAAGAATTTAGGAAGTGATTTAGTAACCGATTTCATCATACAGCCCACTCCATGGCTCCAATACATTCACGAAAACCCAAAACGCTTCCAGGAGGTCTGTGAAGGTCATGAAAACCTAAAATATGGTTACCTCGCAGGCACTTGGGTGGACAAGAAGTTCCTCGGCTGTTCCACTAAGCAGGCACCCCCCGAAATGTTGCCGCTGTTCCGTTATATGACCGGTACCAACAGCAAGCGTGTCTCCATGGAAAAGACCTCTCCAAGGATGACTGTTGTAAGCATTCTTATTCTTATTTTAATCGAAGGAAAACATTATTTTTGCGCTGTTTCTTCTTCCGTTCCAAACACTGACCTGGTCAATAACCTGAACCAGATTGCCTGGTAACTGGTGTTGGGTTTAATAATGTTGCAATTTTATAGTAGGGGAGATTTAGACTCCTGTCACAATATATACGTGAATGTGTTTGAGTACGAATTAACAGAGAAGACCATATGCGAAGGTAAACGTTATGCATTTGCTTTGCAAATGTTACCTTTCTAGTTTACAGTAACATTTTCTGCATTGTATCGCATTGACAGAAATTGATGATTTTTTTCTCGTTTGTTTCAGTTGTGGCAGAAGGACAACCGTAAGTTCGGTTGTGACAAAGACTTCCACGTGGCCTTCTGGGTACCCGAAGAGCATGACCAAGGAAATCCTCCTTATCCCATAGAACAAGACGTGAGCCCTTCCTTACAGTGATTTTAGAGTCTTAAATTGGTGAAAGAATTGTGATAACCATAGTATTGTAAATATATCTGCGTCTGTTATTTAGTAAAATGGCAAAATTGATTTATAAAATCGGTAAGGTCTGTGTTCTTACCACGTGTACGCGTGTAACTTCTTCCAATTTGAGATGACAATTACTTGAGGTCATCTAACATATGGACGTTATTGAGAGCATCTTTAGAAAAGTCATAATCGAAAATGTATCATAATCAATGTGTTTTGATTTATTGATGAAACACGGTGTGAAATTTTTAATGCCATTATTTGTCATTTTTGCCTTTCTCAGGTAACTTTATACAAGTCTCAGGGATACACTGCCTATGTGAGGAGCTTCACCGGACCCAGACCGAACGACTCGGACCTCATTCAGATGACTCAGTCGTTCATGGGCGCGCTGGATGAAGCTGGGCTCAGGTACAAGCCGGTGAGTAGACACCACAAGTCCAGTGGTCATGGAATTTTTAAGGCCCCTTCCGTTAACATTAGACTATGAAATACGGCTATGTATGTAGTTATATGTGTGTATTTGAGCGGGTGTGTTTGAGCATCAGTTGTGTGCGTGTGTGTTTGAGGGTCATTGTGTGTGTGTGTGTGCGTGCGTGTGTGTGCGCGCGCGCGCGCGTGTGTGCGTGCGTGTGTGCGTTGAGTGTGTTGTGCGTGCGTGTGTTTGAGCGTGCGTGTGTCTATACGATGCGCCCAGCACGATCTTACAAATAACGATGATCTTACTTTTGATCGTACTACAGGACTGGATCAAACTGTTGGAGTATGACGATCCAGACATGGAGCCGGAAAAGCGGCTGAACGAAATTTGGATGGTGAAGAAGGAAGAGTAAACGTTAAGGACGATCGTATCCAGAACCGTGCCTATCTAGCCCCATGCCTTAATAAGGGTTCACGGTTCTGGGTAGTCTCCGCGTACCCAAGAACGTACATTGCCTCAGTCACGGTTCTGGATACACGTGGACTATCCAGAACAGTGCGTGAGCATGGTTCTGGATTAAACATGGTTTTGGAAACAGCAAGTTCTGGCATCATAAAATCATCTTAATCCATTCTCCTTTTATTTTGGTGTTGAATGTGCCAACATGCCACGACTTACATTGTATGTTTCATCGAGACAAATTACAATGCGGGCACTAGGCAGCTACTAGCTGATTAGGCATATTTGTTCTTGAGAAACGTAAAGCTGGTAGTTGGGCAACTTAGTTAATCGCTTATCTGTATTTTCCATCAACTCTAAATAAACAACGGTTCAACCCAATCTACATGACGTAAACATGTGTGTTTTACTTCTCCCACAGAGTTTGCTCTTCCTGTGCATAATGAGGAATTGTATTCAGTACGCGTGGAAAACATTTGAATTGGCAATATTTGCTGTTTCGAAAACATGCGTAGTCAGTGGTAATGCATTTTTGCATTCCAAGCTAGCTGCTTCACCGCAATCAATTCCAATAAACGGGTTAACAATTTCAATAAAAGCAAAAGAAAACTACGTGTCTGTTAAACGATATCGCGACAATGATGATGAGGTAATAATAACGTTTGTGGAATATGCAAGAATTAAGAAAATACATATAGCTTAAGATATAGTTCTGATTAATCCACGTGCAGTTTCAACATTACCATTACCAACAACAATCCCTTGGTGTTTTGGGTGTGTCAATACTCTGTTATGCAACGTAAAGCTTCTATGTTACGTAAAATCTCTGCTCTGTTTAACTAAGCCAGCTGACCTCACGTTTTCTGAACACGAGTACAAACACGTGGGGATCCCTATTTAAGACCGACACGCTGCACATTTCTGAACACAAGTCGCAGCGACAATCAACAGAAACAGGTATGTAGTAGTCTTTTGTACGTTCGGTGTTCTTATTTTTACGAAACACTATTTGTTTTAAGAAAGCTACTGGTGTGCAATCACTGGCTGTTTCGGAGATTGCAGATGTTTTATGGGCCGTTTTTTCTTTTACGAAAATCATGCTCTTTACTGCACTGATAAGAATCTGGGTTTACCTGCGTTGAGCTCTTTAAATAATGTCTTTTTCTGTTCCAGCCATCATGCTACGGTACTGCCTTCTAGCCCTTGGGTGTGTGGTCTTGAGCCAGGTAGTTGTCGGGTAAGTTATAAGAAAGCATTATTTTTTCAATGTAATTTTGCTCATAACGTACGTTTTCTGAATCAAAACCTCTCGCTATCCGATTGTAAAGAAATCCTGTTCTGAAACAATCGATCAATCTGCATTCTTGCTAGTTTTGAGATTTTTAAAAACATTTCCATCAGCACCATGCTATAATTAATTCAATTAGTTTTGAACCATGTTCCGTAAGAACCTGTTGTGCAATCCGACCATTGCGTAAAGGCAGGGGCGTGGTACAAAACAATCTTGGCTCCGCCCTAGACCTATTTGATTGACACATATTACATGAATAGGTGTATCGTTCTCTACTACCTTCAGATGTATTCTAACTCCAAAAAATATGGACAGTTATTGACATAAAGCCTTATTTTAATGATGAACAGAGAAAAAGACTAAATGAAAACCTTGACAGACTTTCAGAAAACTTTCAAGAGCACATACAAGGAAAAAAGACCAAGCGTCCATTCTGCAAGGTTCATTGGTTCAGTCCAAAACGGCTTACACGCCAAATTTCTTCCTTTTGTTGACCTAAGCTTTGACCTAGTTTACGTGGTTAGGTAAGAAGTCCTCACGTGGAAGAACACGGTGTCAAAAAAGGGGCACAGAGGCTTATTTGTTCTTCAGGGAAGCGTCCTTTAGGTCTTGTTTAGTTAGCCAATCGACCATTTAGAGAATCTGGTGTACTTTTTGATAGGAATTTTATAGGCTTAGGGCAAGTTCTGAACAGAATGACACAGAGTGACACTGTTATGGACTCTATTGCATGCTATGTTTCAGTCCAAATGTAATGCTGAGGTCACATTTACAAACCGGGGGAGTGTATTTGGTCCATGTGGGGCGTGAATATAATAAAGTTCATTGCCATTATCAATTTCTTCCCTATCTAGGAGGCAGCCCGACTTCTGTAACCTGGAGTGCCCTGAGTTTACCAGTGTGCGCACCACGGGAGACTATGAGGAGAGGAGGTACGGGGCCACCAAGTGGGCCTCCACCAAAATCAGCAGCATGAGCATGAGCATCGCCGGGAGCAGGGGCTTCATGAAACTCTTCAACTACATCGGTGGAGCAAACGACGCCGGTAAGATATGATTATTTAGTACATTAAATTTGTATTCATATCTTACTTTTTGCTTGTTTGCGTGTCCGTTTGATATTTGAATTGGGTTGTGCCACAGGAAGTGGGGGAAATTCTGTAACCGCAGACTGACAAGAAGATGGAATTCGAGGTCAAAATTGTTCTCGTCGCAGGCTGGGAGAAGTGATTGGTACGGCAGAGGAACACAAGAATGAATTAAACAAGAAAGCAACAGTTAAGGAAAAACATTACCCACTCAACACTATACAATATTTATTTTCTGAAATTCAGAAGTACTTGATCTATTTATCATCTTCACATGACAGGAAAGAAGATTGAGATGACCCAGCCCGTGTTGATGAAGGTTCCTGAGGAGACGTCTTGGTGGTTCTGGAAGGAGTACACCATCTCCTTCATGCTCCCCAGGGAGCACTGGAGCAACCCACCCATGCCCACCAACTCTGATGTAAGTATGTCGTACGACAAGTTCACGACATCGGGGGGGGGGTGCTAAGGTGTCACACTGCAGACGATCTCCGGCAGAATTCGTAGGTGGCCAGAAAGTCAGCCAATTTTTAAATCGTGGAAGAGTTGAGCGTATTTTGGCGACGCCTCTGGGGCGGATCCTTTATTACTGCCATCTGACGTAGCTTGGTGACCAGTGAACATCTAAAAATTGTGCACTAGTAATTGAGAGAAATACCGGCCGTCTCGGTAATGAAATGTCCCTTAGAGCTCGCAGACTCGTCTGGCGAGATATTTTTCTGCTGTGTGACAACAGGTTAGGACAGTCGGGGATGTACAAAATTAAACTGTTTTAATGTTGCTGTAAATCCTTACTGTTAAAGCCTAATCGTATAACGAAAATCTTGCAACGCAACGTAGCACAAGAATATAGCAGAGAGCTAAAATCTGTTGAGTATCTTGATGCACCCTACATCCTTCATGCCCCATCTGTGGAAATTGATCCAAGCACAACCTTGTTGATTTTCCAGGTGTACATCGACAACATGCCCGCGATGACGGCCTATGTGAAGACGTACGGAGGCTGGGCTAATGGCTGGAACGTCAACTCCCACCGCCGGAATGTGGAACAGAAACTGGCGGAGGAAGGAGAAAATTTCGAGGGCAACTTCTTCTTCTCCGCCCAGTATAATGCGTACGTAGACAAAACTTTAAGCCTCTATAGACCCATTTTGGCTGCCCAAGGTAATTAGAAGTTCAACCAATGAGGACATGGCAATTATCAGTCTGACCAATGAGAGAGTGGCTGCATGTCCGTATATTTGCATTCCAACGGTTTTGACCAAGGTGGGCGGGGCTATGGGATCGATCTATTGGTCATGGAGAGGGCATTGGAACATTACTTGTGACAGCGTAGCGTTAACGACAAGTGCAAAATTGCCCCATACATAGAAAGTAAACACTGAGAGATGTAAATGCAAGGCCTCAAACCTTTCCCTTTTTTCTATTTTGTGCAGTCCTTTCGAGATGACCAACCGCCGCAACGAAGTCTGGGTGTTGAAGAGCAACGGAAGGAAGTAAAGCAAACTCCACAGAAGTCTTCCAGCTAACAGATCTTCTAATAGCTTGTTGTAGTCTCCATCTATAAAGATAGTTTTCGATATACATGTATATTACGTGTCACTTGTCTCTTGACTACAGAAAATATTGTCTTTTGTATTATGTGAATGTTTGTTTGTTTGTTTGTTTGTTTGTTTTCCATTGAAAATTTTTCAGGGATATTTCTACTCCTCACTTCTGAAGAATAAAGTAAAGTTCAGAAAAAATGTTGCTATCGTCTTCTTTTATCTTAAGAATAAGGTTAATAACCTTCTTCTGTCTGTGACAATCTTTAGTAAAGGTCATTCAACTGTTTTTCAATCGATGATGACTGCATGTTCGTTAACCCAGCATATAAAGGTCTTTATGTTTTGTTCTATGAACTTACCTGTCTGACCTCACGTTGACCGAATACGTGTTCAAATATTGGCTGTCTGTCTGAATGATACATTTCTGAAATCAAATCGCAGTGGGACCCTTCAAGGAAAGGTACTAGATATACTTTCGCTCATCATTGCATAGAGTACATTGCTTGCAAACTAATATAAGAGACGTATACAGGCCTTTAGAAATCTTAATTTCCGTCGTGTGCTTTGAAACCTAGCTTTATTTTGATAATCTTTACAAATCGTTCAGAATCTTGGTTCATCCACTTAGATCTTAAGATTTTAATCCGGGTATCGTAGTAACGGTAAAGGTGTCTTTGTGTTGCGGGCGAGTCAATTGGAGAAATCGTAAACTGCAAGAACGGTATTGGGCTAGAAGTACTTGCCTCTGTACGATACATTTTTATACTTTTATTGTCTGCCGCCACAAGAAATTTTCATTATTCAAGCTATGAATGTTATATGCTGATGCACGTATAGTTTGTGAATGTAGTTGAAATCCAACTCTTGAGGATTTTAGCCAGGTAAAATCGGACTGTATCAAAGGTAGACTTCAGATTGTCTCAAAAACACATTACCTTCCAGCCATGATGTTACGGTACTACCTCCTCACTCTGGGGTGTGTGGCCGTGTGTCATTCAGCAAGACTCATCCAAGCGCAGCCTGAATCCACAAAGTATGTTGTCTTAATTTTGTTGAAAAAAAATGTTGATCGATGCAACAAAACTTAACTTTAATACAAATTCAGTAATAATAACTGTGTGGGTGCAGTTTTGGTCGTTGTTCAGATGTTTACAACTATGACTATTAGAATCGGTCGGATTTATTTATTTATTTGTTGATCCGAGTCATTTTAAATACATTTTGCACAACAACCTGTTGCAAAATTGACCCATGACGCCACTACCAAGATGTAAATAAAAAATCTCGTTGATTGACATCCCTTTGTTTCGGCACGCTCTTTGATAAAACATTTTCCTCTCTGATATGGGTTTACAAGAGACATGGGAACTTTACGCAATAAGTTTGGAGTCAAAAGAATCGACTGAAAAAAAAAACATGACGCTTGTAAAATCCCTGGGATCAAGATCCTTGATGGGATAACACGATAAGCTTTTCTTGATAAACCTTGAAAGGGCCAAGCGTAGAATTGAACACCCCTTCGACGTTTCCAACGTGACTAGACACTCACGTTGTAGGTTACAATGCTGCTCAAAGTTTGACACATGTTGACATAAGCGTTGGCCTGATTATAAAACAGCTGACGAGATAAAACCCTTGATCAATTGCATGAACGGGAGGTTATTAAAGGTCGTTTGGTTGGGTAAGTACAAAGATTCATCCTCACGTGGCCTCGCGAAAACTCGCGTAGGTAATCACGTGACCACCTGTTTTTTTGTAATTGTGCGATGCAGTTTGCAGTTAATATAGGGTGAACATTGTTGTGAATTTCATGGTTTATTCATTATCTTGAATTATGTGTTAATTCCGTGTATACTCCATTGTCACTTCTTCCCAGCCTGTATGGAGACTATTTTGACCTCCAGTTCAACTTCCTGTCAGTCTGCGGTTACACCATTCTCTATTTTGTATTCAAATAGCTACAGATACATACGCAAAAACAGACACATCGAAAACAATTCCTCTATGGCAGTAGGTAATGATGTAGAAATGTACGTACGGTGACTAGTTAACTAAGGTGTTTTATATGGTTTTCACTCTCTTTATTTGCTGAATATACACCACATGTCCTCTTATTTGCTTTGCGTAATTTTAGCATGATATTGTGATCCATATCAGACGGAAGAGCCCTTTGTATAGTTTCTAATTGAGGATGGCTAAAGTAGTATTCCACAGTATCATTAGCATATAAGGCAATTTTGCAGTGTGGTAAGCATTTTGGCATATCATTTACATACATAACAAACAAAAGCGGTCCCAAAATGGAGCCTTGAGGCACCCCACATTCGACATTTCATACAGACTACCTCTACATATAAAGAATTTCCTACATGTATCTCTATCCAAACAGGAAACAGCCAGCCTTCTGTAGTCCAGAGTGTCTTGACTTTGAGACGATTTGTGAGACAGAGGACTATGAAGCACGGAAGTACATGGATGCCAAGTGGGTGTCCACAACAGTCACTGACGTCACCACCATCAAAGCAGGCATGCGCGGCTTCAGGAGGTTGTCCAAGTATCTTGATGAGGAAAACGATGCTGGTAGGGAATTTCCTCATGATGTTCTCTGGTATTAGTAAAGATGGCGTCCATTTCATTTTGTCTTCATATTGAATAAAATGTTTCTTCATCTTCATTCTGTGCCTAATATGACCAAGGTCACTGTTTCCAACCCGGGGCCCGTCCGGGCAGTTTGCGGGAACAAAAAAGAATACATACCTATAAAAAAAACTCAGGAAAAAAGTTAAATCACCCTAAGTTTGGGTTTACTGGTAACGTTAACCCCAATTTAGGGTCTTTTGGTTACCCTAGTTTAGGGGTTTTGCGATTCCTAATATAGGGTTTCTTGGTAACCCTAATCTAAGATTGCTCAGTAATCCTAAATTAGGGCTTCTTGGTAACCATACTTTAGTTTTGTTTTGGTATATATTATAACCGTGTTCGGTGTTATCATTTTTTGTAGGAGTGAAGATTCCGATGACCCAGCCCGTGCTGATGCAGGTGCCTACAGAGAAGGTAACCCGGTCATCCGAGCGCCGCTACACCGTCTCTCTCCTGCTGCCCAGGGTGTACTGGGAGAACCCGCCAAAGCCAACTAACACTGCGGTAAGTGTTCTTTCACTATGTAATGACTAATGAAGACTACAGCTGCTGCTATACTTCCCTACATTCCTTAGAAAAAAATCGTCAAATTCAACAAGCTAGAATTAGAGTGAGCATTTGGAATAAGTTTAGACGTTTTTTTCGTGTTACTTGAAGTGAGTCTCCGAGGATTAATTTGTAATTAATCTATATCTTAATATGATTCATTCATATGCAAATTCGTGTTAGAAGGTTAATCGCTACCCCTATAACGATACTGCGGTACTCATCATCAAATCGCGGAAGTATTGTTTTTGGTGACGTTGGTTTAGGAGAGTTTGTATGTTTGGATTCCATACTTAGAAGGATAGTGTAATAGCCAAGTAAGTTAAGTCATGGTAGCGTAAGGAAGTGAGTGGGTGGAGATTGGGTTTCAGTTGATTGACAGGGTTGTGACCCATCATGCCTTGTACCGTAGGTGGTGTTCAGCCAGCAATGTGTACTTTGTAATCATGAAATGAAACATAAACCACTGTGTAATAGCGAAATTCTATGATGTAAAGCAAACCATATCTTCTTCCCGGAAGTTTGAAATCTCCTATGTCTTGTTGTTATGTAGGTGTTCCTAGAGAACACGCCAGAGATGGTGGTGTATGTGAAGTCTTACTCCGGCTGGGCATCTGATTCTAACACCCAGTCCAACTACCTGGACCTAGTCGGGAAGCTGACAGAGAACAACGAGACTTTCAGGGACCTGTTCTACTTTTCAGCGCAGTACGATGCGTACGTATCCACCATACCATTATCACGTTGGTCTTGTACATTACAGACATAGAAGTCGACGAACTTCGGCCAGAACCATGCTAAGGCAAGGTTCTGGATAGTAAGTTTCAGGCTCGGTTCTGGATAGTCTATGCGTATCCAGAACCGTTGCAAATCTACGTTCTTGGCTGTGCGAATACTATCCAGAACCATGCCCAGGCAGACACAAAAGAACTAGATACGGGCCGTTCTGGATGAGAAAGTATCAACATTTTTCTGTTTTACACAGCCCTTTCCAAACGAACCGTCACAACGAGATTTGGGTGTTGGGCCCCAGCATTACGGACGATATGTACCCCCGTGATTTCATCTTTCTTCGTGGCGCCCCGTCTAACCGCAACCCCGCCCCGACCTGCGGTAAGGAGACGGGGAGACGCGGGTACCTGCGGATGTCAGGGTACACACGGAAGTACCTCGGAAACGCCTTACCTCAATGCGGCGACCGAGAAGAGTTCTGTCTAAGTAAGCTTTCAAATTATTTTGTTTCCATCCACTACAGATATTGAACCACTACTACACATACTACACATACTACTATACACGAAATCCGTTATTTAAGCACACCTTAAACAATGCGTAAATGTTCTGTTCCTTCTTTTACGAGCATTTACGCCTTCTTTAATGTCTGCTTAAAGATTGATTGTTTGATAAATATATGATTTTATGCAGTGCAGAAACTGTGGTCTTCCATTATCAAAGTACACTTAAGATATTTTTAACTGTTTTAACTGTTAAACAATGCGTAAATGTTCTGTTCCTTCTTTTACAAGCATTTACGCCTAGTAATGGTGTATATTTTCTGATTCATGTCTGTTTTGTATGTTATTGCTCTTTCTTTCAATCCCTATTTCTTCTTACTCCTTTCCAGTATTTTAAACCTCCGTATACGAAGGTATTATTTTAAGCATATGCAGCGACGACTTAAAGTATTATGTTATATCTGTTGTGTGAATGATCTTCTTCAGACAAGGAGTGTCCCGAGTATCAGGTGATCGAAAGGTACGACTCTGGGATCGAGAGGCGACGGTACACTGGGATCAAGATGGTGTCATTGAACTCTGGATCCGAATTCTGTGACGTCACGACCGCGCGGAGGGCGGGGTTCTTTTTTCTGTCCAAGTACATGAATGGTATGCATAAGACGGTTTTTTTTTATTCAACAACCAGTGTATTTTCACATGACCGCGTCTGTCAACTGTTTAGGACAACAACGAATGGTTCTGATTTGTACTGCAGCTTGATGTCGCTGCTGTAGTTTACATTTGCGATCCCAAACGTTGTTGTCATGTAATATATATACACATATCTTCAATCACAGTAATTTTCTTTTACTTATTTGAATGAAGCAGTAGTGAAATGATATGAATGAAGCAGTAGTCCACATTGCACTTCGATGTTACGGCATGGTTTATGTGTCATACTATGGTTACACAGTACACATTCCTGGCGACCTCATACCACATCAATGCAAACCAGGTCACAACCCCGTCAATCAACTGAAACCCAATCTCCGTCCACTCACTTCCAATCCTTGCTGATGGGGACAAGGTGCATACAAACTCCCCCGCCGACCAAACGATACTTCTGTACCTGAAGTAATGAATGATACTAGTAAACATATGATGACCCTTCTGACTACCCTGGGAGCCAGACTAGTATCGGGCCTATAGCCGGTTTCCTTCGGTAGCCAAGAATACTTCACCCGCCTACCTGAATTACCGCTGCTGGTTAAGCCCGAGGGGAGTAGGCTCATCTCCCCCGCAGCGGTAATTTTGATAGGCGGGCGAAGTGCTCTTGGCTACCGAAGGAAACAGTCTAACCGCCCGATACTAGACTGGCTCCCAGGGCACCTGATGACTTGGATGTTCACCACAGGCACCAACGGTTACAAGGAGAAGTTAGACATGACCACCCCTGTGCTGCTAGACGTGAAGATGAAGGAGATCTCAGGTAGATTTCTATCTATTAAATGATTTATAGAACAAGTGAAAATATACAATGGTAACTTCCAACACTTTTAGGGACTTGATGAATATAAAATCTACTAATTATACTAGTGATGGCAATATATATGTTGCCCTTATTAGGCTATTAAATGATGCGAAAGTTCATGGAAGCAGTGTGGAAACTGTGAAATCTAACTTTCATATCGTTTCTCAGCTGAAACAGAATATAATACGACCCACAATAAGAACTACTACAACTGTTATTTTATCACAAACTTTGATGTGTAACAAAAATCACATCACTTTCCACATATGCATGTAACAAATCCACATTTACTATATTTATAACAATTCTATCAAAAACAGTATAGCAATGTTAATACATAATAATACAAAACATTTAACAATATGACAGAATAATCTATAAAAATGCAAAGGAATATGCAGGTGCCAATAATGTAATCTTCAAGCAGATTCTATGGGGCAATGGGGTCTATATTGGTCGCATGTATCCATTGGCCTCCTGCAATCGCCTATGGGGGGAATATAGATTACCATTGCCCAACAGAATCTGCTTGGATATTTCCAATGCTGTTCTTACCGGTATTGTGTTATGTACTTCAGATAGGATAGAACCTGCCTGCGACAAGACCAGCAGTGTGAGCCTCTACATCCCCCGGGACAGGCAGCAGGACACGCCCGAGCCCGAGCTGCAGACAAAGCCGTGGCACAGAGAGTTACCTCCGGCCTCCCGTGAACAGGAGGTGTTCCTTCAGACCGTAGACCTGGACGTGTACGTCAAGTGCTTCAACGGCTACTCGGTCAAAGATAACATCATCCAGGTAGCGTTTCTTGTGTTTTTAGAATATACATATTATTAGGTAGGAACGATTATATTATGATAATTAGCGCTAATCGGTGCCTAATTGCCAGTTTTTAGATATGTAGATATATAAAAAGTACGCAATTCATCCTATGGCTGCGGTGTACTTTTCATATCTGATCAAAATCATTCATTCATTCATTCATTCATTCATTCATTTCCTTTCCTTTCCTTTCCTTTCTTTATTCCTCCACGTTGGGAGAGCCATGGTCGTTAAAATACAGGGATACACACTTAAAAGATATTACAGTTTAAAAATAGTTTGTTTTTTTCACACAGACACATGATTAAATATAAATAATGAATATCGTCTATTCTATGGCGATCTGTCTATTTCTATTTCGTCTTTCTTAGGCATTACAGTTCTTTACTATTCCTGAGTGTTTAACATTCATTCATTCATTCATCCATTCATCCATTCATCCATTCATCCATTCATCCATTCATCCATTCATCCATTCATCCATTCATCCATTCATCCATTCATCCATTCATTCATCTAGACCTACCGCGACATGAGGGAATGGCTGTTGGCGGAGGAGAAGTGTTACAAGCCGGGAGTGGTGCACGTGGCCTCGTACAGCGATCCGGGAATGTTGTTCAGCAGGCACAACGAGGTATTGTAGAATATCCAGAACCATGCTTTACTCTGAATCGCGCTAAGGCATGGTTCTGGATAGTCCATGCGTATCCAGAACCGTTCTGGCAGAACCACGTTCTTGGATATATTCAGAGAATGTCCAGGAACGTGCCTTATGACTGAACCGAATGCTAACCCATTCTGGTACAGAACTAGATTCATGTACGTAAGCACGGATCTTGATACGATGCTCTCTCATGCAAACACATCCCTCTATTTTAAATGTAGATAAACTTGAGAGATGATGACAGCACTCTGGTGTTATGGCCGTAGGAAGCTTCTAAATGTTAAGACATTATCTTTTGTTGTGGATACTGTAGGGAGGCAGCTAACATGTGCTTCCCAACAACAGGTCTGGCTGGATGCCGATGACGAGTGTACAGAGCAATTTCCACAGGAGATACCACTCAAAGAGTGGGAAGAGATCAGGTAGAAGCATTTACCCTCTCGTACACTGTTGCGGTTCAATGTAATCTCCAAGTAGTTTTTTGGCGCAGAGTTTTGATGTATGTTTTGAGGCATTTTCGTAAAAGATTGTGCCCAACCCAACATGTAGATCTGTTTTCAGATGAGATGGTTATTGATCTCAAGATGTTACATGTAAATGACTGTTACTTTGATTCCGTATCCTACAGTGCCAAGGGTACTGTGTACGTTTTACGTCTTTTGGCTCTTAAGGCGAAAATATTCGATCTGTGTGTGATATTTTTCATGCTGTAAGGAGAGAAGAAGAAGAAAACAAAAAGAAGGTGACTCCAACAAGTCCAACGAAGCCCAAGCCAAAGCCCAAGACCACACTACCTTACATCCTACCTGTGGGTAACATCACGGATATGCCAGCTGAGTGCCAAATACAAGAGTGTCCGAAGTACAAGACTGTCAAAAGACACGAGAACTTCGTACAGAGGAGCGTGATCAACGGTAAGTACATGTAATTGCTTGATCTTTGGGTATGCACTTTGGCACTTCGTAACGGGAAAAATCCCTCCTCGTACGTACGGAGGACCTGATATTGTTTTCGTTGTGTTTTTGATCGTGTGTTTGTAGGTATTTGAATTCAGTAGAGTTTATTAGTGTTCACCCGTTCCTTTAGTAGAGTGGAAGGAATGAAGGAAGGTGAAATATTGCAACCACAGATTGACAAGGAGGTCCATCCACAGTTTCTCACGTCACGTACCCGGCGCTAGTCGCAACAGGTTACAGGTTCTTACCTAACGCACTTCTGGTCTCTCAGTCTGTAGGATTCCTAAAGTTAGGACTGTTGAGATTATGTCAGAGCATCTCTTTGTTTGTGCCGATCAACATGCAAAAAAACTGCTTTTCCGTAGGTTTGAAATCTTCAATTCTCTATTGTACAGCTACAATGGTCTGCACCAAGACTGTGTCTTGCAGTTACGAGGCGGCGGCGATGAAGAACTTCATGCCTCTATCTGAGTACATCAGCGGACAGAACTCTGCCGGCATCAAAGTCAAGATGACGGCACCAGTTTTGACTAAGGTGAGGGTTACTGTATTTTCCATTGGTTGTTTGCGCTCATGTGACTATGACGTAAATATTGTCCTCCATTTTGGATTGTTACACCTGCAACCGGAAGTTAATTGTCCGGTAAATTTGAATTTGTGGAAAGACATAAAAGGCTGACTCGTACAGCTACAACTACTCAACCTTTAGATCATGTTACAAATGCTTTCTCGACTAAATACCATAATTATAATAAATAAATAAATATCTAATAAATATTAGATAGTGACAGCATGATTTTCTCTTACTTTAACCAAGATGGTGAAAGTCGGAGATGGTGACTCTTGTGAGAAGGAATACACAACCTGCTTCTACCTGCCGAAGGAACATCAAACAAATCCGCCCAAACCAAAGAACGACGAGGTATGTGCATGCGTGAAAGCTGTTTGAAGTGCGTCCCATTGTGACTGGTTATGCCATTTCATAGAACCGTACTAGAGAGGCCTGTCATAGATTCAAACCTAGAACCTTCAGTGTCAACAATTCTAACCACAAGACCACCTTGAGAAAGAAAAGTACATGTATAATAACCACCTACTTTTGCGTTGCCCTATATGTTTACCCCATAACATTGCGTTGCCCCATAACATTTACTTAAAGTTAAATTGTACTTTATATTGTGACCAGGTGTTCATTGACGACGAAGCCGCTTTCGACGTCTGGGTGACGGCCTTCAGCGGCTGGGCAACAGACGACAAAGTGGACAAACTGATGGACACGTTTCGCCTGCAGTTGGTCAACAACAACGCTCTATACACACAGGTACGAAAAAATGCCCGCTTCCCAGAAATTGTCAATTCAATGGGTTAGAAACCTTGATCAATTGCATCATGGTGACAAAGATATGAAGTCTGACATGGGATATTTTTGTCCGCCCTGACAGTATTACTTCGTCGCAAGCTACGACGTTCCCTGGAAGACGACAAGATACAACGAACTCTGGAACCTGAAGGCTGGCCGCGTAAGATGTTTTTGATGAAAATGACGTACATTAAACATCTCTTGTAAGTTACAAGACAAAGGAGATTTCGATCGGCATATAATGAGAAACGCCACCAAAATCACACGTATAGCATAACATAACATGATGATACAATATAGCTACATGTAATGAAAATGTTGTTTTCCTCCTTTTCTTCCTATATTTTTCTTTCTAGAGATATAAACCCAAACACGAAAGCGAAGAATCCGTCGAACAGACGACCGAGACATCTCGCGAGATCTCGCGTGATTCCATGAAGTGTGAGGATGGCGAGTGCCCAGAGTACCAGAGCATTAAAAAATTCAACAACTTTGAGGAAAGAAAAATGCCAGGTACTTAACGCGTGATTTACATTCAGTTAAAAAGATAACGTTGCCAGTTGCAGTTCATACAAATGGAAACATTTTGACTGGATCGATGTTTCGATGTCTTCTCTAGCTGGAAAAAAATAATGTTGAAAGCTAATCTCATTTGCAGGGACGTGGTGGGTTTGCAAGAAAAGCCGGGACTGTTCTATGGCGCCGATATCTTCCTTCTGGTCCCTGATGAACTACATCTCAGGCAGCAACCACAAGAGCGTGACCATCAACATGACAGCTCCTGTACTACAATCAGTAACCGTAAGCATAATCATCTTGGTCATTATCTTTGCATTTCAGTAGCTACATAATTGTCGTGTCTAGGACCGTACCTATCTAGTCCTTTGCCTGTGTGGGTCGGATAAGGCACGGTTCTGGATAGTCTCCATGTATCCAAGAACATACTATAATTTTTTTTTATCAGAATTCCCGAGGCACGGTTCTGGATACGTATGGACTATATGATCTATAGAACCATGCCTGACCTTAAAACTAAGTACAATACTCACAGATATTATTGAAGTCTTTGACTTTGAAAGAAAATAATCTGCATTACAGTGACTGCTATCTCAAATTTATGTATCATTACTAACGTAAACTACTACGTACTTTGACAATCAAGATGAATCCGATAGACCTGGGTCAAAAATGGTGCGACAAGGAGACTGTGATGTGCTTCTGGCTGCCGAAGGAACTTCAGAACGATCCGCCGCGACCAACTGAAAATGGGGTTAGTTACTGAACCCACGCATTGCAGAAAAAGTAGGATCTTTGTCTTCCACTTTCTCAGAACAAAAAAAGCGAGTCAAGCCCAGCAACTTACAGTTTAGAGCCAGCGTTTAGACTAGAATAGCCACATGTTATATTAGGCTTTATTGCTTGTTCATCCTTTCCCTGTTATTTGCAGTTAGCCCTCGCCTCGGTCAAGAAGTTGCAATAAACTATACATTTACTACATTACGCAAATGCTCCTGAATCATTCTGCATACATAGTTCTGGTAACATCGGTGCGATAGAGTTTGTTTATCTTCTGTGTTATGATAAAAAGGGTTAAACGTTCAGACCATGTACAACACTGAGTAAATTGCGGACTTCATGCAATGGACCCTTCTACTGCAGCTTCCGGGACGTGACGTCGAAAACACGTGATTATATTCTGTTTGTGCGTTTCAAGGTGTACCTGTCCCAAAGTCGTGAAGGAGTTGCTTACGTCATGACGTACGGGGACGTCGAGGAGACAGAGGAGGATTTCTCCAGAAGGGCCCTGAAGTTCATGCGCATTCTAGACGGCGCTGGGATCTCCTTTGAACACGTAAGTTATCGCAGCCTGGGTGTCATCCAATTTGCATACCAGGGATCCCAAACTTTCTGCCGGAAAAAGGGAGCGAGTAGGAAGCAAGCCCATGTGTACAAATGGATAACACCCAGGCTATCATGTATCATTTTCTGATCATTCGTAATGTTGCATTCTTCATTACATGACACATAAAGTCTGAGGAACTGAGAAAGAACTTACAATATGTAATATAACACTATAATGCATATATAACGTTGTTGATAGGGCCGTCTGAAGGCTGTAACCTACGATGGCCCTCAAGTACCAACCAACAAGCGACCCAAGGAAATATGGCTCATGGAGGGCGAGTAAGTTGTCTTCGCTCGTCTGTTGTAGATATCTTGAATTATACAATTATCAAGTATGCTAAAGGTATTCTAGCCAAGGAAAATCACCAAACGAACTTTTCAAGCGGTTCGAAGTACGTTGATTGACGACATAACCTGTCTGCTACAGCACCAGTTACCATGGTAATCGACGTCTCGTCCAGGTCATTGACTCTATGTGTTTGGAAAAGAATATAATAAGAAGAAACAGAGCCAAAACAATATGTTTTCCATCTGCGACGATATACATACTAAATAACGAAAAGTTTGATTAACACTTGGACTTTTTCACTTTTTTTCGCTATACTGAGCCAAGTTCGATGCACTTTCTTTTTGGTGTAAACAAAGTTACGACAGGGCCAACTTGAAGGAAGAGTTTCCTGAAGAGGTTCTGGATCCTGTGGAAGAGAAATGCACATGGATGAAATGTCCGGAGTACAGGGAAGTCGGGCAACATGATGGCTTCGTGGAAAGACGCATTGAACGAGGTAAACTGATCACCTACCAGTAGATAGTGCTAACCACTCCTAATGCTGAGGTCTCAGTTCTAAAACATGGATCGGCCGTACTGTTTTCAGGAACGAAAAATAAACAATTCGTATCAAGAATCAATAAGTTTAAAAAAAAAATACTTTTCCGTGTTTAATTGTCTTTTATATCATACTTCCCGGAAAATGCCCGGCCGGACTCCGCGTCGGGAATTGTGACCTTGCATAATTTTAAAGTTCATTCAAGGGTATCATGTGAATGTTTATTTTGGCTTGTCTACGTACCTGTTTGTCCCTTTCTCTCTCTCTCTCCCTCTCTCCTAGTGTGTGTGTGTGTTCTTGTGCATGAGTGCACAATATGTACAATTATTCATCCTCAATGCTACTACGCACGTCTTTGTCTTATACAATAATTTACAACAAATTCAATATATGTACTCAAACAATATGAACTAACAAAAAGTACGTGACCGTATTTTTTCCAGGCACCTGGGTGTGCAAAAACACGAGACGATGTTCTCTGATGGAGACAGACTCTGCGTATTGGTCCCTGTACGATTACTTCGCCGGCAAGAACAGCAAGAACACCAGGATAACGATGGTTTCTCCCGTTCTACATGCTGTAAGTATTGCTCTGAATAATCAGCAGCTAGTGCCCTATATAAAGTCTGGTAGGCAGACCATCGTAGGCTCCCTAGTATCTCTAGGGTGTTCCGCCCAGACAAACAGGCCTTTTTACGGGGTCTGTCTTAATACAGGACGAAAACAATTAGACAGGCTGACTGAAAAGATCTTGCATGTCAGAAGAGGCCTGTGTTTAGTAGGAATGGGTAAAATGCCCCTAAGCTGGATCCTGGCCAGTGGAAGAGAAATGTGGAAAATGGTAACAAAGCTATTTACCGCTGATGAATATTTTTGTCATATGGGAACGGGAATTGACACCAGAATCATTATCCAATATATGAACCATGAAAACTGTTGGCCACTTGGCAAACATTAGTAGGACTTTGTTTATCATTTACTAATACTTTAATACACGAAAATGTTATCATATACACTCAGATGAACCCTGCTGACCTGGGGAGGGACAGCTGTGATAAGCTGTCCAAGCTGTGCCTCTGGCTGCCCAGCGAACAGCAGGAGGATCCACCGCAGCCTAACGGAGAAGGGGTGAGCAACGGATCAGTTCATTAGCTGACATCAGAACTCGTACTGTTTTATGTTGCGTTTGTGTGTTCGCATCTATAAGTATAATTTGATAAATTTGTATGAATTTCGGTATGTAGATAGTTATTGACTCCATTGTCTCTCGAGACAGAAGGATGCCAATAACATTGAGGTCAAAAAGAAGGATAGCGATTTTGGTCTCCCTAGAAGTATGTTCAGGTACAGCAGCATTGCAGACTGATACCCCTGTATTGAATGTAGAGTAGTACAGTTCATTATACCAGTCGCTGCTTGTATAATGGGCAGGCAGTGTTAAACAAGCTCTAGATGTAAAATTGACGTAACAAGCATGTTCGCAGGTGTATCTGTACCAGAGCCGCGGACCAAAAGCTTACGTGCTGACGTACAGCGGCGTCAGGGCAGACGGGGAGGAAGAGTTGGCCGTCAGGGTCAGAAACTTCATGGACAGGCTGGACGAAGCAGGAATTGAATACAAACCCGTAGGTTCTCATCTTAGTAACAGTATACACAGTTTTTCTTCTTCTAAACGGTACTTGATAATTGCAAATTCTATAACAGTAAGGTCGTGAAAGTTCATCCGTGTTGATAGTTACATTGTTAAACTTAAAAGGTTTGATCCAACACAAAGAAGTTCTCTCACCTAGAGCTTTCAACCAGTCACTCTGGTCTTACTCAGTAGGCTTGTCACGTGGCGTCTTTGAAGTATGACGTCAATACTGGGTCAAAGGTATCTGGTAGACTATAACAGTAATATGTTCTAATTTGACACTTTATTTGATGTACCGATTCGTCATATCTTCCCACAGGAGTACGTTAAAGCCGTCAGCTATGATGGACCAAATATTCTTGTCAGGAAGCGAGTCCATGAAATCTGGCTTATCAAACCTGAAACCTCCGAGTAAGTACTTCATTTGTCATAGATCTATTTTGTTTTTGCAAAATGTGTAAAATGTGTGCAAAATACATATAATAATAATGTACTTATCATAATTCATACAATGAATGTTATCGTAAACATCACCATGTCATCATACAACCTTCAAGGTTCAAGATATCACCGTGTACGTTACAATGTACATGGCCATATCTACTGATCATGCTATACAATTCAGAATACAGGCTGCTTTTTTTTAGAACTAAACCATTCATAATCCATTATACATCTTTCCGCCGAAGTACTACATGCATACATTACAGTACGAGCAATCCCAGAACATACTGTTCTTGCACTCTCTCTCTAGCTCTCGCGAGATCTTGGACCCGGTGTCCGAAAAGTGCAAGCGGGTCGAATGCCCGGCATACAAGACCATCAGGGAACATGTGGGCTTCGAGGAGAGACGTGTCAAACCCGGTACGGAAACATACATGTACCTCTCGATCAGTGTCACCTGGCCCTGGGCAAGTGTTGAAAATATGGTCTCCTATTTACAACTCTTCTAAATTTAAAATACATCACATATTGGTCATCTGCAAAATACCAGTCCCACGTTGAGTACATAGTACTGTTTTGCTAGAAAGAAATTCATGCATTCATTAGAATTAGAATCAACGGGAAAACTTTCTACGACATGCAAATGGGTATCACTGAAAATAAAGTGGATGCTACCCGATATTTCCGATCGTTTTTTCTCCACAATTTATCCGGTTGCTTGGGTAACTGATAAAGAACTAGACTGTTATCTCATTACCTGGATGTCTCAGCTTCATCGACGTAACAAAGGCCATCTATTCGGTCAACCTAGGCTCCTGATTGAGGTGAGAATGTGCGCTATTGCAATTTTGCAGGCACTTGGGTGTGTAAGAAGTCTATTGGTTGCTCCCCGACACAAACGACTGGTGCCTTCATGTCCCTGTTCCACTACATCTTCGGCAGCAACAGTAAGAATGTGAAGATAGACATGACAGCCCCTGTACTACGGATGGTAAGAGACTAAGTCTGTCCTCCCCTTCCTTCCAACCTCCATAATGCCAGCACTGGCACGATTTTTTTTAGCATCGATAAAACAACCATGTGTTTATAGGATCGATTAGCATTGGGCAGTGGTGTTGTAAGGATGGCGTAAGTTTGCATATATCCTTGTATTCTTGATGAAGTCATCCCCAACTCACGTCTCCCTCTTATTACCTAGTACATGAAAAATGGATGTATTGTTTTTGGTATGTGTGTCCGTGTATATATGTGTGTGTGTGTGTGTGTGTGTTTCAGCATTACCATTAGGTGGGGTTGTAATGGATATGGTTGGGTTACATCATGTCCCAGAGGGAGGGAGTCATTAACTACGTCTACATCTGGTAGCGCTCAATGTTATTCACTAGTACATGACCTCCTTGACAATGACAGCTGCTGTTGTTTCCCATGCACGATGAAGGAAGAAATATTTCATGAAGGTCTCCGAATTCTTGTTGTTTAGATGAATCCAGATGACATAGATAGGGAAGGTTGTGACAAGGAGGTCAAGACGTGCTTCTGGCTGCCCGAGAAGCATCAGAAGGACCCTCCTCAACCGACTGAAGACGGGGTAAGTGTCGGCTGAAAATTCGATTATGGTTCTATGGGCCTGTGGTTATTTCTAGACATTTTGTGTATCATGGTATATACGCTGGCTGTAGATTTTAACAAGTTGTAATTATCATTATTTTTGCACCCACAGGTGTTTTTATACAGGAGCCGTGGTCCAGTAGCCTATGTTCTGACGTACAGTGGTGGGATAAGAGGAAAAGATGAGGAGTTTGGACAGAGGGCGAAGGAATTCATGGGCAAACTTGACTGGGCAGGTCTAAAGTACAAACAGGTGCAGTAGCCCGATTAACGTATACGTGTCTGGTATGTTTCTCAATTGCTGTAGACAGCATTTAATATTTTTCAGAAAATTTGATTTCAAACATTTTCTTATTTCTACATTTTTGTTATACATTTTTGCAGGAGTATGTGAAATTTGTAGGGTACGATGGACCGGATGTTCCTCACAGCAAACGAGTGAACGAAATCTGGCTCATCAAATCAGACAAGTAAGAACTTGTTGCTAATAGGTATGTCTTGTTCAACATCCAATATCAAATATGTTTGTGAATCATAGTTGAACTGTAAAGAAAACGGACGTACCTAAATTTTGGACTGCCCAACTCATCTTTTGTCAAGACAATCCACCATTTCTGTAACATCAGCGGTGGATCATATGTTGGCTAAAATTTATGGCACCCGTCTCCATTGATTGATGGTTGATTCAGTCGACCATCACTTCAAATATGTTGTGATATGGAATTTGACAAATGATATATAACTACTTAATCCCTTACTTAAAGACGTTTTGTAACACAAGTGTTCCACATTGTTGACAGTGCTGAAGACTATCGTGGCAAGGTTGTGACTACCATGGAGGACAGGTGCAGGGTGATGGACTGTCCTAACTACTGGAGCATCAAGAAATATGATGGCTTCGAAGAGAGACGGATAATGCCAGGTACTTCATTGGTGAAAATCCTTCTTATTAGATATTGGGTGGAGGTTACAGGTTGAACACATGCCTTTGTAAACAATCTTGGTCACAAGGGAGGTCGAGGTGTTCATTGTCATTTCTAAGGAAGTGTATTTGAGTTAATATCTAGCCTTGGTGCATTCCGATTTGTTGCAGGCTCCTCATACACTGGTCAGCCAGTATACGGAGTTGGTATCAAATCTGATGGCTAGCTACATTTTTTAAAACTCATCCGACTCAATTCATGTTTTTACACATATACAGGCACGTGGATCTGTAAGAATGTCAGCAGTTGTTCCTTGGGAGATGCAATAACAAAGTTCTCCTGGACCCTGGTGGGTTACGTGAGTGGTGGCAACAGTAAGAATGCCGAAATTAAACAGACAACCACCCTCGTCATCTGGGTAAGAGATTAAAACAACCACATCAAACGTTGCCTAATAGGAGGTAACCTGAAGCTACCGCCTGTTACTCATTGAGAATGCCACTGATCTTGTGCCCTTGGGAAAGGCACTTTACACGACTTTCCTCACTTTACTTTACTTTGTAAATGAGTACCGAGCTTCGGTTATGGACGTCCCTCGGATAGGACGTAAAATTTCAGGTCCCGTGTTTGGGAGAGCCACACCCCGCGCACGTTAAAGAACCCAACACACTTATCGAAAAGAGTAGGGGACCTTCCCGGTGTGAGTGGTTCAAACTTTACAATCTGGTCTCAGGTTTGACATCTTTGAAGAGGTGATAGTCACCTGTTATGTCAACCCTTCTACAAATGTGGTAAATCTTCATAAATAAATAAATAAAAATAAAAGACAAGAAATCAGATAGATTTTGAAAACTGTCAGACACTTTCAAATAGCATCCACTTTTAATCGACAGTTTCAAAAAGTTATTGTGTACCTCATTACCTTCATCAAGGCATCTACACGTATGCGATTATAGATGATGATGTCAGGAAAACTTCAAGCCATATTTGAGTTTCCGTATCAATGCCAACACTGTCGTTTTGTTTTATTAGACGCATCCATCTACGCTGAGCACTGAAGGTTGTAACAAGGACTACACGGCGTGTCTCTGGCTGCCCAAAGAACATCAGGAGGACCCCCCTAAGTCACCATCGTATGGGGTAAGTACATATTTTTCACGTCATGGGGTAAGTACATATTTTTCACTGTTATACCCCCCTCACCCATACACTGCACAAAAAGTGGGATTTACCAATTACCAGGTAATTCTGGAAATGGTTGCTTGTTTCATTTGAAGCGAACAGTATCAGTCTTACATACATGTATCGTATGCATGTATCCATCTCCCATCTCTTCTCAGGGCTCACTCCACGATGAATGGAAGTTAGCAATAGCAGCTAATGCACATTGGCGATGTTCATCATCTAAAGCAACTGTTCCCAGATTTACACATTTAAGCATTACTCTGTGGTGTCAAACACTATTATAATAGATATTGTTATGTCAAACACTATGGATACTTTGATGTCACACTATGGATACTGTGATATCAAACACTATGGATACTTTGATGTCAAACACTATGGATACTTTGATGTCACACTATGGATACTGTAATTTCAAACACTATGGATACTGTGATTTCAAACACTATGGATACTGTGATGTCAAACACTATGGATACTTTGATGTCACACTATGGATACTGTAATTTCAAACACTATGGATACTGTGATTTCAAACACTATGGATACTGTGATGTCAAACACTGTGGATACTGTGATGTCAAACACAGTATGGATACTGTGATGTCAAACACTGTATGGATGTTTTTTTTATTCATCAAAACATGAAAACATAACAAGGACAGTGTGGCGCTGCACTCAAGTTTACAACTTATATTAACAGCGCCACACAACAAAAAAGTACAATTAACATTTAAATATGTATGGATATTGTGATGTCAAACACAGTATGGATACTGTTATGACAAACACTGTATGGATATTGTGATGGCAAAGGCTATGAATATTAATATGATGTGATGTCAAACACTATGGATGTTGTAATTTCAAACACAGTATGGATACTGTGATGTCAAACACTATGGATATCGTGATTTCAAACACTATGGATTTTGTGATGTCAAACACTATGAATATACTATGAACGTCAAAGTGGCTGCGATGAGAATATAAGTTGTACCTAACTTGAGTTCGCAGTCACTTAGTCCATGTCCTTTTATTTGTATTCATCACTGTGCTTCTGAATAAAAAACCAAAAGCAATATGGACATTGAAGGATCTGCCCTGTCTCCCCCCCCCCCCCCCAGAATAGCGCGATGTTCCTGTACCACAGTCGCGGTCCTGTGGTGTACGCCATGCCGTACAATGTTACTGCCAGGGACGGGAGGTCTGAAACCTTTACCCAGCGTGCAACAGAATTCATGGACAGGCTCGACGCAGCCGGTATTGAGTACAAACCGGTAAGGTCGTCTGTATTATGTATAATGTAATTGATAGAGGTATGTGTAATTAAGTGAGGTGGATTAATGTGACATCATAATGACCGAGCCGAAAATCATTGATATACGATGCTAACACCAGGCTCATTTTGTATTGATTAGAACAAAAAAATGTTATATTTTCACTCAGTCTGACAAGAGACCCGTTTGCACTGACACTGTTCAACTTGTTAAAGTAGTTTTGAGATAATGGTGATGATTTAATTGACACATGATGTCAATTCTGATCTGGTATTTCAGGCATTTTCTTGCCTTACTAAGGTACTAATTCATCTGGGGTCCTTAACCCTTGCCCTCCTGGCATTCATTTACACAATATACACAATAATGATTTGATGTCTTAATCAGGTCATACACCCTTGACCTTTTTGTCCTGTGGTGGCGTAGTTACTTCCACCCCCCCCAAAATCGCACATATACAGGGTGCTATATAGATGGTACTGTATGTGCAACACACACACACACACACACACACACACACACACACACACACACACACACACACACATAGAGAGAGGCTCCGCAGGACAAGGGTTTTAATATCCCTTTTTTTCATCCCTCTATCAGGAATATGTGAAAGCTGCCGTGTTCGGTGGTGGACCATCTCATCAGGTCATTCATGAAGTGTGGCTGGTCAAACCAGAAAAGTGAGAAAGATTCTTGTGTTTTCATTAAACATTCGTCTGTCGATTTATCGAACCGTCAAATGGCTCCCCCAAGCGCCCAAGGTTATATTGCACCGTGGATAATTAATAAATTAACCTAAAACAGTATTTTGAAAGGAAACTTGGATATGCATGGCTTGTCTAGTATTGACTCGTAGTATTAGATATAACGTTACGTCTTCATGTTTTAGAACATAGTATTCAAATTTGGACGTAGTAACCCTTCATTACGGTGCAATCTATAGAAAATGTAACGTTTCACCCCACAATTTGAAATGCCGGCAACACATATCGGTGCAGTTTGATGTGTAAATTCTAACTTTTCGTAAAGTTTTTTTTATCTCATAGATATTTCTCTATCTACCAGGGATATGTGAAGTCCTGCTCCTAGGACCGGGCACCCGAACGAAGTGTGGCTCCTCGAACCTGAAGAGTGAATTTTTTCTTAGCGTGCAATGAAACCGCCTCTAGCTGTCTTCTACATATGACGCTTGGTACAGTGGATACATTCATGGTTAATCATTCAGTAATATGTTTTAAATCTTAGCTTTTGCCAGTTTGTAACAGTTTTACGTTTAACCAAGCAGTTTGGAAATCAATCAATCAATCTATCACTGATATTCAACCTCCTTGGTATTATTTGTAACCTCCTTGGTTTAACTACGTTAGCAACATGACTTCCAGCTTGAAGTCATTGACTACCAATTCATGTACTGTTCATACTGTCACCCCGAATCGAATGTGATGAGGTAAGTATTCAACCGTTCTCCATTGTTGCACCTACAGCTTGGCTTCTTATAGGATTACAATAAAACAGGCTCAGCATTGGAATCTCTTTGCTGTGTGTTGTTATATGGATGTATATAATATCTGTAGGTACAGAAAGGTACGGAGAAATGATACTATGCTACGTTGTAGACACTATACGCGGTAGCACGGTAAAGTTTTCTGTGGAATATAATTTTACATCGTTTAGGTAAATATTGATACGATGTTAGATATAATTCATTAGAGAACACATGGTTTTAGGAAACTTCGTAACCTCATTTCTTAGGGTACGAGGAGCTTTCAGGAACATTTTCTTCACACATATATAACGTTAGATGCATCACTGTCTGAGTGCACATAAATTTATTCTTCTTTGGTAAACTTCTTCGGCGAATCGTCTTAACCATCTTGCTGTTGTGTTCCTTGCTCTTTCTCATTACTTGTTCCATGGCCAGAATCTTGCTTTGGTTGGTTCTCGCTGTTTTCTGTAAGTGGAAACATATACAGATGTCATAGATTGAGAATGTGGTTTGACAGCAGCTCTGTAAAATCTTCTATGGCACTGTTCGACGGATGCTGTCCCCTATCTCTTTCCCACTCTCCCTCTTTCTCTCTCTCTCATCTTACTCGTCCGTATTTCTCCGTACGCTAGATGTTGCAGACTATCGATACTAACCCCTGAAAATAATCTAATCGACGCGACTAGAATGTGGATGAATCGGCATAATTTGTGAGTGCAGTAGCCTAGTCGTGGTTCGGGTGGCTGAGCAAGGATGACACTCGACAGTCAGTCACGTCAGTCAGCTTTGGTTATTTATCCCATTTATTTAGTACTTAAAAAAACGTGCTAACTACTTTTACATGGGATAGCTATAGGTAGAAAATATACGGTATGTGGTAAATTAATGGGATAGCACCCCTGTTATCCCATTAATTTACAAGAAAGGGATTCAGAAATGAGACTTACCCTCACCCTGCGGCTCCTTTACTAACCCGATGTACGTCATCCTCTCCTCTAGGTCGGTGAATGGAGGGTCGTAGGTGAATATTATACTATAGTACTGTTGGGGAAAGATAGAGAAACAGAATAAGACGAATATGTTTCATATATACACATGATCATATGATTTATAGTTAGATGTAATTTTCTAGAAGTACACTGTTGCTGTCATATTAACAGGTTAACATGCAATATAGTCAATGGATTGGTCTTCCTCTGAATCATGCATGGGTAGATATGGCAAAACAAATGTCCGTGTCTCAAATCAAGATATACCTCATAAGTTGAATATTACGCTGACAGGATACTTTCAGTCTGAAATATTTTTGGACTGATGTAGCTGATAATATAACGTAAGATTTTGTTATTGCGTTTTTTCTAAAGGAATCTTCACAGTTATTTCAAGTTTTTAAAAAACTTTTGAACATGTCTAATTGGTGAACTTTTAGCAAAAGAAAAAAAATATTCAGAAGACCGAAGTACTGTCTATAACACATGTGGATATAATGTCTCTCTCTTACCCTCTCAATGGCCAGGTTTGCCTGTGTCAGGTCCACCAGTAGATGGTAGGTTTTGTCCTTGATAGTTTCCAGACTGTAGCTCCCTGGCACGGCGACTACGTACATGTATGTCCCATTACGCTCAAAGGTCTTCAACTGAAAGGCAACATCAATGTTAGCGCGAGCGCGTTGAAAGTCTACAGAAGCTACGTACTACATTGGCCTTTCTAATGGGAATAATTGAAGGTAAAACTGTGAGTTTTTATCCACTCCTCTATCGGTTTTGGTCCCTTTCATGATGCTGTGTAAATCTTTCTGCCAGCCACGTATACTACAACAATTGAGATTCGAGAGTTTAAGACTTTCGGGTAGCTAAAATGCAATCCAGGATTCCCTCCTCGTCGACCACTAATCCCTGTGATTCGAAGACCTTCACGTTCACCTTAATTCCTGTGTCTGACCTGTCATTCTGCCTGTGAATCTTCCCCACCAACGAGCTGTCAACCTACTCTGTGCAGACAATCAGATACCCAAATAAAACCCACTGCTCGGACTGTAATTATGACCAAATCGAAGGTAAAAATTACCATATATCTTGTTTAGAGTTAAATCTTTTTCACTGTAAACTTCAGTGTTAAAACCTTTTAACTCTAATTAAACAGGTAAGTACTAACACAGATGAACGTTCATGATTGCACATACCTTGTCCGTGATCGGCTCCGGGATCTCCCTGTCGGCGTACCTGGGTGGGAGGGCCACGCTCATCTCGTACACGGCGTCACACACGTTGTCTACTTCCGCCCCTTTCTCGAAAAACAGTCTGTACTGCTGACATAGAGAGGAGCACTACACTACAAACGGTGCTAACATGCATCTACTTATAGTAAAAAGTTGAACTTTATTCCAACACAGAGTTTCACAGAGATCAAATTTTCAACAACCACTGTCTCCTTCGATATTCATCAGGATATTGCATTGATCTTACTTTGATGCATATTCTTACTTTACACACTGATAGCTGCATTTTTGGCACATTCGGGCAACAGAATGCATTTACAACATGCGATTTGCAATGCCAGCCATAGGATTTTGAGATTCGAAAGCTCTCAATAGCAATCAAGCTATAATTTTTCTTGGAGATCGCCCTAAAATTATCGCACCGGAAGCAAATGTCAGTATTCACAGATGCGACATTAAACGTAAATATTGAGACACACATGTCTAAGTGCAGAACATGACGACCCACCCTGAGAGAGACTGGATAGGAGAAATCTCCTATGTTGTCTTCCTCCATGTTGTACCCCCGGAAGTACTTGTGTATTGGCTGCAGCAACAGTCGGCCGGATGTGCCCGATTCACACACATTCTGCTGGGTGAACACACCCTTCACTGGGAGGTAAAGAAATAGTTTGTTGACTGCTATGTTGCCCCGACGGCAGTCACCTGACTGCATTGGGACCGGTGAGGTGAGGAGAGGAGATAGTCGAAAGATTATCATAGAGTGAGAAGCTAGATTAACTCGCTTAAGATAATGGCACCTCAGCACAGTAGCTATACGAAGATTTACAAAGTTGAAAATCGTATAATTATCTTCGCCGAGATGGTTATGTTTTCAGTACCGCTTGTGCGTGTGTTTTTGGACCTCCTAGTGGCTTTCTTGAGTACTGCAGATTTCAAGTCTCCATAAAATGCCTCAAGATCCATCTTTGCTAAGATACGACTTTCATACTTTGGACAACATCGATGGGGAAGATCATATAATTTATGCACAATCAATAAGGAACCTTCATGATGCTCCAGTCATAAATGTCGACGTGACGTATCCAGAAGTCACGACGCATCCAAAAATCACACCATTGCAATAAATCCGTTTCCAAAATCACAGTGTTGGAATCAACAAGTATGGAAGGAAGTCTACCTTTCGGAAAGTAAACCTCCAAGAAGTCTCCGTAGTCCTTCACCACGCGGACAGGTAAACACTCCTTACTGTGACAAGACGTCGGCGTTGGGAGATATCTCTCCTCTGACGAGTCCTTGGGTTTAGGTGTGACTTGCTTCTCTTTCTTCTTCTGAACATTCCGGTCGTCGCGAACAAATATCTTCATCACCGTCTCTTCCTTCCCAGGGTCAGCGTAGGCACCAATCCAGACAAGCTGTAACAAGTGAAGAGATTAGAGAATAAGTTAAGATAGATAAACAGTATACCATCGCAGGAAACTTTGTTGTCAGTCTAATTCATTATTATATAAGGTGCACTTAGTTGACTAGTGTAAAATACCATACGTCAATGATTTTTGGGATGCATTGTAAAATTCCATTAATATGCTGTCTGCCAACTTGCAGGTATACCCTAATGATTAATCAAACAATTACAATTGTATGACGTCACTCAATCCTACACGTTGTTTTATATACCATGATTACACAGTACTTATTCCTGGTTATCTCTTACCACCTCCTACCACCTAGAGTATACTGGCAAGTGGCAACCCTGCAAATCAACTGAAATCTCCACCCAATCTCCACCCATTCACTTCCAGTCCTGGCTGATGAGGACGACATACATATAAATTCCCTCTAAAACACCGCCACCCAAAACAATACTTCCGTCCCGGAAGTAACTAAAGACAAAACGAGAAGATGAGCCTACGGGGAACACCAGCCGGGATACCTTTGGGTTGTACTTGACCCCAAAGGGCTCCAGTCCGTCCAGCTGAAGCAGCATCTCGTCGATCCGTTCTCTCACTCTGGCGTCGACCAGCGCGCTCTCAAAGTTTCCCACAAATGACTTCTCATACGCCACGAACTCATTCTCATCGAAGGTGATCCTAACCTAGACAAGAAGGAAATTAAAGAATCATTCCTAAGAAAGACAAATACGATACCTGAATGAGTATTGAAAGTTTCATTTCAAGTTTCAAGTTCTTCCAACCTTGTTGATGGAAAGCCCAAATAGCTGTAGCTCTGGTAATTTCACACCTTCTGAAATTAAAGTTTTAAATTGCACAAAGTATATTTTTTTTATCCCTTTAATAGTTACGTAGATGGTCATATATACATACATTAGATAGACATTCTATTTATGTATAGTGTTCATTGTTTTGTTTTTCTTTTACGTGTATTTCTATTATTGATCTTTGTTATGTAAGGCCACACCAATTTAATTTGTTGGGTCTCGGAATCGCCGCTTCTGATTTTCGCCAAATCAAAAAAAAAAAAAATTAAATCACTGAAAAAAAATCTAAAAAATCAGAATGCTGCAGTTTTGTCAAGAGTTGATAGGTGTCTCTCTTAGCAGTTGGTCATGTGACGTATGGGAACCAATAGAAGGGCCTGATTTTTCATGCTAATTAGGAAGAAACATGGCCGACTTTGCCGGCTGTGGGCAGAACTACAAATTTTTGAAGAAGCAAAAGTAGGAATGTAGGCTTCTTGAAGCAAGAAAATAATCATGGAGGGCGATCTGGATAAGCCACCATTTCTTATGTTGTTAGAATTTTGGTCACACATGCGTTGAAATTCTATTAGAGGAAAACTTTGCGCAGGTTTGTGACCGTCTTTGCCGGTGGGTTTGATGAACTATATAACGTTATTCCTTGATATGTGATGGACGAGTCCAAAGTTATTCTGAAGTATAAAGTTTAGCCATCAGGAAAATTATCCTGATAAATCTATCGTTCTGTACACTGTTGGTTTTTGACTTTCATGAATAGAAGACAAAAATGCACTTGGCAGTAGAGAGTCATGCACTGCATATATATATATAACTTATGCATGATTTCTTGTCAGGTTTAACCAAGGAGGTTGAACTGAGTCAGAGTTCCCCCTTTTGTTAGAAGTTTCAACTACATTAACATGTACTGAAAGTACCCTTCACCAGCACTGAATAGAAGAAAAAAATGCTTCTGTTTTATTTTTAGATTATAATTTATACAATTCAAGAGTGCCCTGTCACCTCGAGTTGATAACCAAGACCATGATTATGATTTTCTGAGTACTATTGCCATTTTTTCAAATAGAAATCAATAAAATCAGTTATCAAAATTATATTTATTGCAAACCATTTAATAATAAAATCAATACATACCTATGTGGGAATAAGATCATAGGTGGTGAAAACTGCAGTATACGTAGAAGTAAAAGTAACACGAGTCCCCGGGCCCCTATTTCCAGTCCTGGCCTCACCATCAGAGCTTTTTTTTTTTTTTCGCCCTGTCGCTTCATGTTTTTCGTAAAAAAATCCGAGAACCAACAAATTAAATTGGTGTGGCCTAAGTATTTAATAGTCGCAGCTGTTATGAAATTTAGACCTACCCTCTCTGTGAGCGGTTCCGGTGGACTGTTGAAGTATTTCTCTGACAGGTACATGCACAGGACGAACGACTTCCCACATTGCTTGTCACTGGGTAAAACCTACGCAGAACGGGATAAATGGCATTTTCAAGCAGATGTTGGGTACGATTCAGTGCTAAATTGCGCCTTTGTATACTGCTCTTTATTGGTTCCCGTTCCTGTGGAGTGGAAAAGGGACAAAAACACTGACGGCTAGCAAGACACATGTAATGGCTTCTGTACATTGAGGTAAAGCAAAATAAGCTATGCAAAGAACATTGGAACATAGAAGAGGCACTTACGGATCGAAACGAATTTGACTTAAATTTGAGTCAAATGTGACCCCGAAACACACTGTTGGCTTACTCCAAAATAGTTGGATGGTTTGCTGCTAACTTACAGACGAAAACAGGCTGCTCCTAACCATGTGTGTGTGTGTGTGTGTGTGTGTGTGTGTGTGTGTGTGTGTGTGTGTGTGTAGTGTTCAGGAGGCCAAATTCGTGAATGCCTGACAGTGGAAGTTTAAAAACAACTCACGTGTCCAAACAAAGGCTTTGTCATGTTCATGGATATCCCATCCTTGTTTTCCCCGTTGATGTAGGCTAGGATGGGATGCAGCGCCTTGTGGTATGCCTGGTAGTACGAGCATGACAGAGGGCTGCTCTCTGTGCAAACAAACTTAGCTGGGAGACAAAAATATGCTTGGTTATGACAACACTATAACAGCGTACGAACTCAATCTCAGCAGAAACACAGAATTAGTCTGGATGTCAGACCTATGGCACGCAAAGTCTAACTGAGAGGGGTTTTGGTACGGTCTGGCAGCCGAACTATCACAAAATACATAACATATGGTTGTGCAGCAATCTGTACATTGGTATAATTTCATAACGTTCAAATTGTATTCTCTTGGCAAAGTGCAAATTATGTTTGAAAATTACCGAAAAATATGAAAAAGTGATGGCATATTGATGAAGATATATTGTGTGACAGTGAAATAATAAGTGGTACCAATTCAGTCTACAAGTCTGCATAAATGAATCACATTTTTACCTGGGTCTTGCGACACTAGTCTCAGGTTATCACCGAGAGTCATCTTGACAGAGAAGTGTGCACAGTCGGTGGTGTTACAGGGTTCCGTGACTTCAGGTACCACCTTCGGGTCCAGATAGTTGTTACTCAGGGGAATATCGTACGAGAAGGCCGGGCGGTCGCCTTGGTCAGTGCAGCTTTCATCGCTATCAACCATTATCTGGAACAGTGTTAATGAGAAATCAGAAATATCATACTCGTTAGAAGTGTTTTGTGTTTATGTAAATCTATTGCAACTGTATGGTATGATCATGGTGAAATACCAGATTGAATTACACCATATAATATGCAATATTACTTCATAGGATTGTATGACACCATGGTCTATGTACCATACCATTTTGGCGACCCCATACCCCATCCTACTTCGCAAGGCATCCTGGGTAACAACCTGGTCAATCAACTGAAGCCAACTCTCTGCCCAATAAAAGGGCAATAATCATAAATGAGCATCATTTATTCTATGGAGAACGAAATAAACGAAAAACATACCTCGTTATAGCGATCAAATAACCGCGACTGGGAATGATACTCCGCAATACTGATGTGGTCTCCCAATACGCATTTCCCGCTGCTTTTCATGGTATCCAACAGGAGTTTGCCATTGTCAGAGATACTGTGCGGATCGTAGAACACATTTCCTCCGAAGCACTTGGTGTAAAAAGTCCTGTAATGGAAAAAGGGCGCACAGCCGTCTAGTAAATCACGTGCATTTTCTTCACATATGGAATAATGTATCCATTACCATTCTATACAAATGTGAAGCATGTGTGATGAGTACATTATTAGTTTCTGGAAACGATCATTTCTGAAAAATGTCAATGAATTTACAAGAACGTAATACAACAGAATGTACAATACAATGACAGAATTTAGGGCCTGGTCACCTTTGTCGTAGTCTGCCGTACGATTTTGATGGCGTATAATTTTCACGTAGATTGTGACAGAGACAAACACTGACAAGGATCAAAGACAGCATTATCCGTTACAAGACAAATGTTTTTTGACAACCTTTGCACGACACATGTACGACTATCGCAAGAATGCCTTCAGTTTGTCGTAAGATGACCGTGCGACGAGCGTGTCTGGGCCCTTAGTCTGACTTTTTTTCATTGCTGGATGAGAAATGAACGTCAGAGACTTACGTTACATCCTTTGTTCCATGAAGGGTCTGTATCGTTTTAGGTATTTGGAACATTGGTTGACCACTGTTCGACCGTATCAAAACCTGAAACGAAAACATTTAAAATGTAAGTGAACGACGTATCGTATCCTTGTGAATGTAGTGATAACTAAATCTAGATACGATGGCAAATGTAAACTAAAGGGGCATACGTATATACCTCAAATTCAGGTTAACAATCCAGAAATAAAAGCCCCTTTTATCCACCAACATTCAAATCATCTTATTTTGGGTACATGGTAAGATTGTTTTACAGATGATATCCGACTCGAAATTAGAATTAACGCCGCTCTTTAATATACCCCTGAGTCATAATTACTTATACAATTTGAATGTTTGGCACCTTGTTTACATGTATGTGGCTGCCTTACGTAAAAAACAACAACCACAGCAGCAACAATGATTTAATTCACCAGGTCCCAGTGTGGACTGGACACAAACACACAAACTGTCAACGCGACCGTAAACAATACTTCCGTCCCGGAAGTAACAGCAGCAACAACAAGTCTCCTACCGTTGAAGCCGTGGCACTACCGTCCATGGCGTAGTATAGAACGAAGAACTTCTCGCAGCCTTTCTCGCCATCCAGATTTTTACGGCTTTGTACGATAGTTGTCACAAACGCCTGAACTTCTGCTGGAGATATACCTTTCGGGTGTAGAAAAAGGGATAAGCTTTCTAATGCCATATAATACAAACCGATTGATGAAGTAACCATCAAGCTATTATCTAAAAATCGTGAACATGATACACAGATATCCCGAGGTTCTACTGCAGTACCACGGAAAGTTATTCCTTAGCCCAGAATGTAATCATATATTGTGTACCAAATATCATAATTGTTGTATTATCACAATACACCCATATATTATCTTCAGTCATGCTGTTCACCCACGCAGCCGAAAAGATAACACTTTTTGCGAATGTAATGCAATCATGGTTCTGCAATCATGTTAGTAGAAGCATGAGGATACGCAAGGAAAGGTAAAAAAATGTGTACAATAAACCGACCCCATAGCACTGCTCGCTTAGTACCTCGGTCTGTAGATATCCAAATATTTGACGGAAATGCAACCACGATCTCATTGGTACAACAGTTAATGGCTATGCTATCATTGGTTGAACTGCTGATGAACACACCTGTGTTGTTCAACTGCTGCCACAGTGGCATGTAAGACTGGTCCACGGCGGTGTCGTAATGACAGCTTGTTGCCACGTAACCGATGACCTGCAGGTCAGTGTAGTGTCTCTTCTCTATGGTGTCTCCGACCCTCTCCAGCATATCGTACTTCGGGCAGTTGGATCCTGAAGATAAAAGAAATGTGAGAAATGACATCTGAAGAACAGGACAGGGAAGGTTCTTCAGCACTAAGGACAGGGAAGATCCTTCAGCACTAAGGACAGGGAAGATCCTTCAGCACTAAGGACAGGGGAGGTTCTTCAGCACTAAGGACAGGGAAGATTCTTCAGCACTAAGGACAGGGAAGGTTCTTCAGCACTAAGGACAGAGAAGGCCATTCAGCACTAAGGACAGGGAAGACTCTTCATCACTGAGGACAGAGAAGGTTCTTCAACACTTAAGATAGGGAGGGTTCTTCAAAACTTAGGATAGGGAAGATAGTACAGCACTAAGGACATGGGACAGGGAAGGTTTTTCAGCTCTCAGAGTCTCTCTCGTTATATACGTGATACTGGCCTACCATGGCAAAACGACGTGGGGCACATGTCCCGTGTGAGTACAGGGACGTTAGCCGGGTTCATCTTGGTCCACCTCAGCGGCCTGTTGTCCCCATGGAGACACCGCGGGATCCCCCTGCCGCTCACCAGACTGTCGGTAACCTGCAGCATCCGGTGGGCCACCTCGTTGATGGCAAATATCCAGATCTCGTTTTGTGATTCCAGACCAGGGGACAGACTGGAAAAACAGTTTAAACACAAGAAATTCAAAACAAAACATATTTTGAAAGATTCACTAAACGACCCAATATAACGCAAAATTTAACTTCATTCACCAGGAGCTAGCCTGAGTTACACAAGTTCCTTCTCCTAAGGAAATTGTATTTTCAGAAAAGTGCAAATACAATTCTATGCCTGAATGAGATAGTGATATGATCAGGCACTGGTCCATGGATATTTGTGTGTCTAAGAACGCCGCTTTGCCAAAAGCACGGTTCTGAATACGTGTGAAGTATCCAGAACTGTGTGTGGATATGGCGCTGAATAAAGGACCGTTCTTGATATAACAGGACCCGGTCAGTCAGGAGGCGGAGTTTGGTTGTGCAATGAGCTTAATAATGTCGCCAGTTAAACCAACCATGCCTCATCGCGTCGTAGTAAATCAACAGACAAGTGTTGTATTCTAATTAGTAAGCCGTAACGCGGAATACTTTGTTCACCTGTCGTACTGGGCAATGTGGAAGTAGTCCTCGTGCTCGAACAGTTCTTCTCTCTCCGATAGCGTATGGAAGAATTTTCTGGCCTCTCGTTCAGGCACAAATCCGGCACTCTGTCGTGGGAACGACTTGACGTACACAATGGTCTCGGGAACGAGATCGATCACCACCTGACAAGCATGATCACAAAAGTCACAGAAATATTAATGTGAAGTACAATTATTCGTTATTCACATAAATACACACACATACATAAACGAACAGATACACAAGCAAAATTCACACACGTACACACAAACACATGAACACATGTATACATACATACACACGAACACATGCGCATACATGCACACACATTACACACACAAATACAAATACATGTACCGTTACATGTAAAATCACACATTTACACACACGCGCGCTGGTCAAAAATGACAGTGATAAGAAAAGATGAAATAAAGAAAACTAGTGAGTGCTGATGTAGGAACCTTAAAGACCGTCTTACCTTTGGATCAGTCGGTTTTGGAGGGTTACTCGCCACGTCCTTGGGGAGGATGATAGAGACGGTCACCTCACGTGTCGGGTCACGTGACGACCTGCGCAGCTGCATCACCAACGGTGAGATGGACGCCATCTTGGTCTCTGTGGATCCAGTAAGACAATTAAGTTTGATCGTATCGTATCTAGAACCGTGCCTTTTCAGTTCTATACCATGGGTTAGGGTTAGGATCAGGCATGGTTCTGGATAGTCTCCGCGTATCCAAGAACGTAGATTTGCGCCGGGCACGATCCTGGATACGCATGGACTATCCATAATATGCCTGACTATTATTCTGAACAAAAAACGAAGTATAATATCGCCGAAAAGGAGACATTGCGGTCGCCAATGCCAGCATGAAATACAACGAAACTTCTCCCATCCCCATCGCTTTAGGCAAATGTTAGAAAAGAACAATCAAGAATTGAACATGGTAAAAAAATTAATTGCAACCAATTTTGTTTTGAAAACCTTCTATGAATCATTCAATTATAATATCATGAAAGTTCCCATGCTATGAAAGTTACACTGAGAGCATTTAGTGTCTGCTTTAGGATACAGTCACATTCGTCGTACGTTCGTCTGAGGACATTCTTGGGATAGTCGTGCCTTTGTCGTGCAAAATTCGTCATTTTATAATAAAAATTCTGTCTTAGGTAATTTCTGGCGCAGTCTACTTGAAATGTTTATGGAGTGAAAATTGTACAATAACCTATGACGACTAAGAGAACGCCTTAACCAGATACTTACTTTCATTGTTTTCTCCCTTCAGGTACTTGTGTAGTCGCTGCCGCCCGATCAGACTGGCCTTGGTGATACTGGTCCTCCGTACACTGGTCGATACCCACAGGCCGCTCTTATACCGACGCACAGCGTACTCTGGGCTCGAGCACAGCAGCTCGTACTCAGGGCACTCTCCATGGCACGACAATGGCCGCTTGCCCTCAACGCTGTCAATATATCGAACAGTTCAAGACATAACTGTGGATATATCTACGTCTAGCTTCCCATAAAATACCACATACTTGCGTTATTCGTCTGTAAACGGCATAGTTATGACAAATTTAACGTACCAACTCCAAGAGAGCGTCAGTAAGAAGAGAATACTACCTGCCAGTGGTGTCGTCTGACAAACACAACGCCGCCCAGGCGACGAAGAGTACTGCAGTCTTCCACATCGACAAAGGACGCTGTTAAATGGAGCACACGACTAGACTAGTGTTCAGACACCTGCCTTGCTCGTATTGTATGACCCAATGGTTATCTTTCACCCCAGGCGGGACCTACCATGTGATAAACTCTCAGGGTAATGTAGTATTTCATCAGTTCACGACTAAAAAAGAGTACAAAAACTTGCGAAATAAACAGCGCAAGATACAGAAATCAAAGAGATGGAACAGAAGATACTAGGTATCGTAGGCCGTAAGCCGACAGAAATACGATTTCTGTGTCTACCCGTAAATTTTCCAGATGGAACAGTCGTGTTGTTTATCTGTTTTGTCGCTGAGGAGCAAACATGGCTTCTATTGTCCTGTCAAACAAGAGCCGGCCAAAGATCACAAGTCAACCCTGAGGTCAGGGTGACTTTTCAGGAGCCGCGGCGACATAAACAACGTGAGGCACATCAAGCTTGTCTCATACTGTTGTCATCCACACTGTGGTTGTCATCCGTACTATTGACCGCCAGTCATTCCATTGTAGAGACACTACAGATGTCGTGGCCACTTATTGCAGCCGAGGATGTTGTTAGTTGTGACGATCTGTCGGTAAAAAATTAGAGCCCGACTGCAAAAGACCAATTGCAAGAGAGTGTGAGTGCCCCTATCGTATCCAGAACCGTACCTATCTAGTTCTATGCCTTAATTGGTTATAGTTAGGATACGGTACGTTTCTGGCAAGTTTAGTATTCAAGACGTTATACGTAGATTTGCGTCAGGCACGGTTCGGAGCGAGCACGCGTACGCGTGGACTATCCAGATCAGTTCTGGATAATCGACGGTTCTGGATTATTTCCCGTCAGCCCTCTATGCCCAAACCCCTCGCAACCTTTACCGTCGTCTTAGAAAACGATGGAAAACCAAGAGATAAAACCAAGACAGTTTGTTTCAGGCTGGTTTGTCAATGGTTTCAACCACCTTGATAATGATATGTTTGAATGTGATTATAACAATTCTTGTCAATCTTTCATGGTCGTACATTGATCCTGTTCGCCCTGTTAAGTCATTGATGGATTTTATCTTTCTAATGTCAATAGAGACCTTATCGGGTTCTTGTTGTACGAGCAAATGTTACCTTTTGCCTCGGTGAGTACAGGCCTAGGCGTGTGTTGGATTCAAGGGCACAGTACTGCAATGCCCTCACATATACGTTAGTATGTAGACACCATAAAAGCAATAAGAGGGCCGAAGACAGAGAATTTAGTCATAGTACTTTAATTTGTTTGTAGAATTCAGCGAAGCGGACATTCTTTTATCTAATCTCAATTTAAAGTAACGCTATTCACTGGCGTTACTTGGAGTCGACGGGTAAGTTATCCAATATTTTCAATGTATTCAAATACTGCGATTGAAACAACTTTTTCTCAAAATGACTCAATAGAACTGCAATGCAAGTAAAATTATAGTGATGTTACACATTTTGCAAACTACTCACAATATTTGAATCCATATGTCTTAATGCTTTAATTAACCTACGCTTCAGCAAGCTTGGTTTGGTGTCGGTGTAGACTTCTTCAGTCTTCTCTTGTCTGCTTCCTACTCCTCGTTCTCCGTCTCGTTAGATTCAGCCTCTGTAATTTGTGTAATTTGTGCGAGAAACATGAGAGACGTCAAAAAGTCAGTCTGTCCAGGAACTGTATACTGTAAGTATGTGGTTGGGTCAACGCTAAAAAAACCCACAAATATTAGAATGCATTCCTTTGTACATACTGTGCATGCAAGCTGGTGTGTTAAGTCCTAAGGGTGGTTATACCGGCTATATCGATACATATAATGAACTGTGCAGACGTTTCTAGTGGCCTGAGTTTGTGTCTATGAGCAAAGCGGTTTCCTTTTGCTGGGAAAGCCGCGTGCATCGGAGGAACTGTATTGGCCGATTCAGCTATCTCCCGATATAGCCCTCCCCCGAAAGGAAACAAATGCAGGAGGCTATTACTGTCCAATGGCTTTAGAAGTCGGGAGTAACGCCCAAATGTTATTATTACCTTCACCCATGTCCTGGCCTTCCTTGAGGAACGTAAAGTAGGTGATGCTTTCATGTGGGTCACCGAAAGGCTCGCTGTACGTGAAGAAGCCCACCCAAGTCTGGAACAGAAGCAGCAGTAGCTATGAGATAGGAACCTTGCCAAAAAGGGTTACTATGATATCAGTAGTAGTAGTAGTAGTAGTAGTAGTAGTAGTAGTAGTAGTAGTAGTAGTAGTAGTAGTAGTAGTAGTAGAAGTAGTAGTAGTAGTAATAGTAGTAGTAGCGTCCTTCCATCTCGAGATACTATACTTGACTGTATAAAACGAACAACCGCAGATATAGAGGCATATATACGTACAATGTAGGTACATACATAGATAGATGGATATGTATGCATGCATACATACATACATACATACATACATACATATCTATACATACATACGTAGTATTTACAGATAGATTGATAGATTGATTGATTGACTGATACCCCCTACCTTGTCGTACTCAACGCCTTCCTTGTCAAGTATCTGCATCAACTTCTGAGTTTCCTCTGACACAATGAAAGGACCCTTCACAGAAGTGGTGTAAACGTGAAAACCTTCAGTTGATGTAAACGTGGCCACCTGTATGTCAGAGCAGAGAAAGAACAAAGTTGATTATAATGATAAATCCAAAATGTTGATGTATCTCATGTGAAAACAGATGGCTGTTGAATAAAGAACCTTATACATGGTATGATGCTGTCAAGCATAATTTTTTTGTCCGTTTGACTCACCCCTTCTCCAGTTGCCTTTGGTATCTCCTTACCATCGTAGTCCTCCGGCAGTCGTGAACAGACCTGGTACTCCCGTTCGCACGGACCGATCTCCTTCTCTTCCTCCTCAGAGTAGACCCTTTCCTGATATGGAACAAAACGAGTTATAACCAAGAAATAGGAGATTTCAGACTTCCAAGATGATTGTATCCATGGATGTAATTGTAATTAAATTAGAACTGTAATTAAATTGCATCAGAAAATGGATTGCCGCTACTCATATTATTGTATGAAGAAAAGTCCCCGCCCCATTGCACCATTAGTCAAATTTTCGACGTCACACCTTTCTGGCCACTTCCAAACCACGTTTGCGAACTCGACACAAACACTATCGAAAATAATATTTCCGTTCCAGAAGTAAAACGGTTTTAATTGTGGTTTATACGTGCAGAAATTAAAAAAATTGATATTTGATGTATTCAAGATAATAGCAGAGAAAGAAGGCTCAATTAAGAGACCAAATCATCAATTCATGAACATATTGTGACTCATATACTGCATAGATAGTAGTTTGTAGTAAGAAATGTAATAAGATAGTTTAGTTTTTTAGTATTGTTGTATTACTGCCACACATTGTACCATGTACGATTGTCGAGCAATAAAGTTCATTCATTCATTCATTAAGGGTAAAGATCAGGATGACACTCTGTCGGTGTTATTTTGTATTTACCACTTAAGTTACGGAAATTTGTTTTAAAAATTGTTGACTATTAACCATACCATACCTTGTACATTGGGACGGCAAAGGTAGTAATTATCTTGTTGTCGCTGTTGTCACCGTGAAAGTACTTCTCAAGAGGCCTGGAAAGATGTCTGCCGAATGGGAAAGAATCTCCTCCACATAGCTTCGCTCGGTGACACACGCTTCTACCTTGAAAGTGTATAGAACTTGTGTGAGATTATGTTTATTAGTTTCGTTTATATTGAATGTTTAGTAGTAATTACATTTTAGCGGGAGACTTTTTTTCGACGATTTTGTAAGGCTCTCACGTTTTGGAAGAAGCACCTCCATGAAGTTGCTGTGGTTCTTGGTGACATAGACAGTCGGACAGACAGACTCGCTGCAACCTTCCGGCTTTGGAAGAGCGACCAGTCCGTCTGAGGTGTCTTCTCTCCCTCCTTCTCCATCTCCATCGTCTGATGTGTCACCGTCCTGGTCTTCCTTGGGTGTCTGTGCAGAAAACATCTCAGGTATTAAGAGAAAGAACAGTAATGCAACATTAGTGTACCACTGAGAAGCTACACGCCCAGAAGGCCAGGAGACTATAGCTGGTAAGCTGAGACACAGTCTTAAGACACCCATTCCCTCTCAAGTTCTTTCTTTTTGGTCACGACTTTCTTCAAGAATTTGACAAGATATTATGTAGCTCTAATGACACCAAGCTATACGCATGCATGAAGCAATCGCACATACCAACAATTATAGGTATAACAATAAAAGAAATATGGCCGTACCTTTATCAATTCTATAACAAATTCGAAGAGACGTTCCTCTTTGTTTAAGTCATCATAGGCACCAAGCCATATATCCTGAAATATCAATATACATTATTTCATTAACACCACAAAGAAGCTATACAAAGATTGAAAAATAATTTCGAAGCCTCAGACATATTGCCTAATAGGTACATAAAAATTATCATATATACATACATACATACATACATACATACATACATACATACATACATACATACCCACTTACTTCATTAAATCCACTTACTTCATTAAGGCTTTCGAGTTAAAATTCCACCTAAAAAATTCCGATTTTCAAGTATGCCCGAAGCATGCGTAAAGGTTTCCTATGTTAATTAGAATGGAGAAACAGAACATTTTACATTCTGTAATTTGTGTTTAAAGATCTAATTTAATGCAAAATTACCTGAGCATTGTAGCCCACTCCAAATGGCTTGAGCTTGTCCAGGTTATCGATCATATCATCCAGGTACTGTTTTCCCTGCCTGGTACTCTTACCCTTGTAGACTGACCGGAAAAACATGCTCTCCACCACAGGACGTTGATATGAAACCTGTCAGGAGACGAATCATTAGCAATATCCAGGAGGTTCTAACCCTCCTCGGTAACTATCTGGTGGCGTGTAGATGCATTTTTTAAAAGTCCCAGAATGTTGCAGACGTCGCAGAATGTAGAGCCTTCTTTGCTATGATGCATGTTTGTGAAATGATGTTCTAATGAATTGTACAATGGTTTCCCTCTTAGGATGATGTTGTACATAGATGTCACCTCTCAGAAGGCCAATCAGCTTCATATATGATGACACCGGTTTGAAAAATTCAGAATTCGAAACTACATTATTTGCTCTTATCCATTGTACGCACTATAGTAATTTTTAAGGTTCATATCCCACCAAGGACACCATCTTTTGTTCCGTTGTTATCCAATGGATATATCACATACCGTGTCGTCAATGGGCGTAGGTGGATTATCCGCAAACTTCTCCGGTACCATTGTGCTCACGGTCTTGACCATTTCGCAGCTCTTCTCGTGGAGATAAACCTGTAGAACAACATCCAGATTAGGTCTCTGAGATTAGGTCTCCTGTGAAACCAAAATAGCTCAGAACTTTGTAACGATGCATATTTTTGTAAGTTCCTATGCCAGGTTAATTCCTATTATAATACATAGAGCAGATCATTCTCTTGACCAGCAATGTCATGTTGTACCATTTGAAGATAATGGTTTAAACATTCCTTGCCTTGGCAAACAATGGTCTAGTCATGTCAATTTTGGAGTTGTCTTCATTCTTGCCATTCAGATACGACAGAAGTGGATTTAACGCCTTGAAGAAAGCTACGCCGTAGGAACAGGACTTGGAAGGACTCTTGGAATACAGCCAAGTTGCTGCCGGGAAGGAAATGACAAGATGAAGTACATCCTGCATTCTTCCTGCATTCTCTATCCTTTGCAAATTAACGACATAAGAAGTTCATAGTTACACTTATATCCCCAGCATGGCTCTAATGACATAATTGGCTCCCAGTTACCGACTCTAAAAAACACATAATTCTACAGTCAAAGGCTAAAAAGGTATTTGGATTGAAGAGTTGGACTGAAATATTGGACTAAGTACACGTACCAAGCAAGCAAATGAGCAATGTTAAAAACGTTTTAAACGCTGTATCGGCTGGAAGTAGAATGTTTGAACAAGTGTCCTGTGTAGATCACGAAATGAGAATACAATCTTATTATTCTGAGGTACTACGTTAGGCATAGATACCTGGTGAATACTCAAAAACCTGCAGGTTGTTCTCAAGCCTCATGATGGTGGTCATGTTTGGGCACACGTGAGTGACACATTGGTCGCCCAACGATGGCTTCACCTCAGCCCGGCTGTAGTCTTTACTCACGGGGAGGTGGAAGGTGAAGGGTGGGCGGCCCTCCTGGTCACTACAGTCCAGGTCGGCGTCAAGGTTGATCTGGAATCCAAAGATCGCAATAGGTGTTGGAAAAATACAACTTCAAAATAGAAAATGTTTGACCACAGTCGTATCTTTTAAACATAATCAACGAAAGAAAATCTGAAGATAAACAATGAGTCTTTTGAAGCCGGTGCAATAGCTCAATTGGTAGAGTGCTCGCTTTGTAACCGGGAGGTCGTGAGTTCAAACCCCGGCCGGGTCATATCAAAGACTTTAAAAATGGTACACACTTCTTTCCCTGCTTAGCACTCAGCACATATGAGCAAGAGTGTGGGAAGGTCAAACACACAGCACTACCAGCAGACTAGCCCCCTGCTGTAGTGCATTGCACAGTTGTGTGTCGCCCAAGGGCTACGAAATGGAGATGAGCACCACCCTATGCTCGGGCAAGAGCACGGGAGACCTTCTTCTTCTTCTTCTTCTTTTGAAGCTATCCTTGCAAATCTACATGGATGTAAAACACATTTGTTGAAACGAGTGAACTACATGTAAATCACCTCGTTGAAACGGTCAAACAGTCTGGACTGTGGATGGTATTCCGCCACGCTGACGTGATCACCCAGGAAACACTTCTTCTTGTCCCTGAGTCGTTCCATCAGTATCTTGGCTGTGGAAGTGATGGTGGTCGGCTCGTAGTAGGCATTGCCGCCAAAACACTTGGTGTAAAAGGTTCTATACGGTGTCACGATCACAGAAAATGCGGTTAGTTCAATGCAATTACGTGGGTGAATCACAACGTGTCAGGACATTGTTCATCATCGAAATGTTAGTAGATATCAGTATACAGTACATTTTGTTGAGTTTGTAATCTTTATAGACGTTCGGTGGGGGTATACTTCTATTGCCAGAAATGTAGTTCCTTGTATCTTATGAAACGTACAAAAGAACGAAGCTGCAATGTCGATCCCTGTAGCACAAGTTAGATACCTCCAACTTTCTTAATACTTACGGTGTCGAAGAGGCCTTTCCATGATGAAGTGCCTCTACTGTTTTTGGTATCTGGAAGTCGTTTTTGGTTTTCAGTAAAGTTTGGTCCTGTTTGGTGTTGGAGGATAAAATGTTGTCATCAATAACATGTCTTTGTCTGTGAATAATATCATCAGGGTGGCGAATGACTGAATATCAAAGTTACAAGAGTAAACAAGGAGTTGTGAATAAAGAACTTTGATATTCAATCTTGTCTTGGTGTTTATCATAAATGAATAATTCCAGTATATTGTTGTGTACCCGGAAGACGCCGTCACCTCACAAGTGGTGAATAATGATGAGATAAAGTGGTTAGATAAATCTCGATAATCACTTCTGTTCGACCATTTCATTATGTAGGTGGGAAGAACTCTCTCTGTTAACACTGTAACATATTTTTCGATGCAAATGTTTTACCATTACGGTATAAAATAAATTGGAAATTTGTTCCGTGTTTATAGGAAACGACGACCAGGCCTAATGACACCATGTAGACCTCGGGGTGGGTCATTAACGTACCTCTGGGCTCCCAGTCCCTCCACCAGCAACGTACCACACTTTGAAGAATTTCTGGCAGCTGTTCTTCCCGTCTAGTTCCTCTCTTTTCTCTATAGCGACTGTGAACCTCCCAGCAACATCGGTCGCTGGAACGCCTGCCGAATACAAAACCTGTTCAATAATTAATACGTTTCGTCTTTGAACCCACCACCATCGTACAATGTACCTGGGGAGGGGGGCGTTCCGAGACAATCTTGACGTATGTCACCACGTTGTATAATCGATAAGGAGGTGTGTGTAGTAGTTTAACAGATAACGACGTACGGCAGGAATATCACGGAAAAAGAACTATGGCCATGAGGAAAGGTTCAAGGACGTAAGGACGCACATTTGTAAATGTAGACTGCCGATTCATAACTAGCTTGCTTAACACTCAATATTTCACCTGCCAAGTCTCTCTCGTCCTCTATCTGCGGAAACTGCAGAGAAGACGAAAGATACTAGGCAGCTAAAATAGCTTTGGTAACCAGTCTAATTCCTACCTGCTTCCCGAAGGGATCCCATCAGCGGATCTACAGAAGCACGAATGGCGGTGTCGAAGTAGCATGTAGGAGGTACGTAGGCCAATGCCCTGAGGTCCTTATACTGCTTGAGTTGTATGGTCTTGTCGTCGACTCCCTTCACTTCGGACGCCTCGTACTTTGGGCACTTTCTTGGGGCTGAAATAAATAGCATGTTCAGTAGTCATGATTATTATTCTAGAACCACAAGGTAACCACCTCTTTGGCAGCTGAGAAAGGCAAAAAATTGGAATTGAATTTAAATGCTTTGCCTGATAGTCATGATATGCAGTAGATGTCGACCGGTTGATCGTTCTATTCAATTCGATCAAAGAGTGTCATTAAGAGGTTATAAACTCCTGACCGCTAGTATTGCTATACATGTTACTTGTTTATGTGTACACATACCTTCACAGAACGTTGTAGAACAATGTTCCCGAGTTAACAGGGGGATGTCGCCCTGATCCATCTTCTCCCAAACCAGGAGGTCCTCTTTACCGAGGAGACAGTTCGGCAGTCCCTTGCCCTCTGCCGGGAGGTCGTGGAACTCCAGCCACTTGTACGTTCTCTCGTTCAGAGCGAAGACCCAGATCTCGTTGTGTATGTTGTGGTCGGACGAGTCTGGACTACATCACATTGTGAGGACCAAAGTTTGTGAGTACAATAGTAGTACAATGTCGACCGTGCCCTTTGTTGTCTATGGCATTCCCTGTGTGCTTGAATGAGGATTTTTTTGGTTGTCCAGATTTTCACAAACACATTAAACTACTCAGATGCCCAATCATATTGATTAAAATTGTCTTTATAGTGTAATGTTAATTTTCGGGCACTTTACATGTCTTTTTACCTGTCATACTGAGCGATGTAGTAATACTCCTCTCCGTGGGATGGCTCATTGTTGGTCTTCAGGGCCTTTAGTAGGTTTTTGGCCTCCAGGTCAGCGACAAAGCCGACTCTTGGAGATCGTCCTCCGAACTTCCTAACGTACATGATGGACTCAGGGACAAGATCGATCACCACCTGTGACACAGGCAGGGTATTGTGTTTGAATAAAAGCTCGTTTCTTCAAAGTAATAGTATAACAACCCCTTGTTGTTATTTCATTGACAGTTTCCTATTTACCAGCTATGGAGATTAAATAAGGGACTATTATAACTGCATCACCCATAACTGCACCCATAACGTCAATGACCAATTCACAAACCTATGCTTTAACGTTAGTGCTGATAGAACATATACCCTGGGATCTGTTGGCTTTGGAGGGTTCTTTGCCACTTTCTTAGGAAGAAGCATGGACACTGTGATTTCTCTAACAGGGCTTTCAGAAGGCTCTCGGGTCTGTGTCACCATGGGACCCGTGTGAGACATTTTCAGTCCTGAAAAAGAAATTACACACAGGTTTTTTCAAGTGTTGTTACAAGTGCTGTATTTTTCTTTACTATTCATTTGTCTTCATTGAGTATCTACATCTGCTAGATTATAGTATTTATTGATTTCTCACATAGTGATTAGACGAGCCTGGAGAATATCATATTGTAAAGATGTGACTTACGTTTGTCATTTTCCCCTCCGAAGTAGTCATGTAAGCGTTTCCGTCCTCTGCCGCTGGCCTGGGAGAGGGACAGATCTGACATGGTGGTGGACACCCAGAGGGCGCTTTTGTACCGCCTCACGTCGTACTCTGGGGTCGAGCACAGCAGCTCGAACACAGGGCACTCTCCGGTACAGAAATCTTCCACATCGCCTCCACTGCTGCCACATAGAAAATGAAAGACCTTCTACTTCAAAATCAAAGACGTATACTATTAGTACGTCAGAAAACAAAGAACACGGCAGGAACATTTGAATAGAATATTTACTTCTAAGGTTAAAGATTATTTGTGCTGTTATAACTTCATTGTAATGAAATACAGTCACAGTGGCATTTTATTATTGTGTACCTGTTTGTATCGCCTTGAGGATGCCCAGCATGATGTCTTCCATGACACACGTCCACACAGATCAGAAGAAAGGCCACCCGCAGGACTTTAGACGCCATGGTCACCTGTGTCAAGATGCGTGAGGGTGTTTTCCTCCTGTTGTCAAGCTATTAATGACACTTAAGTATAATTTAAAGGACAATTCGCTTCCTAAGTATGTTTTAGCGGTTCGTTTTTAAAGATTGTGGATTGTGTTATGTATATGAAACTCCCAAATGCCTGCTCGCATGCACGAAAAGTACATGATGTGCTTGAAACCTGCTATTGTCGCAGACATGTTACATAAATGAGAATTCTTTAGAGTCAAGCAAAATTAAAGTACCGTTGTTGTGATTGGTGGTAATATTGATCAAGGCTCCCAAAGAAATCAGGAATGACAAGCAGTACTGAAAGATCAAATGATTAGACCGACTCTGCCTCACCCAATGGTACCCCCCTCCCCAACCAACGCAACTGTACGTCCACGATCTTTGTAAACAGTCCTGTTAAAACAATTAATCAGGAACACCTCATAACTACAGCGTAGAAACCCTCATTAGGCCCTAAAAATGTTGATATCAATAAAATCTTGCAATATTTTTTTTTACTTTAAGATGTGCAAAAGTAATGTAAAAAGCTAGAAAGTAAAGAGTGTCAAACCACTGGTATCCTGTCACGTACAGTCAGGCAGGGCAGGTCTGAGATTAATGATTGACTGTACGGTACCACACCGCGAGCAATAGTTGGTTCAGTCCTTGTGACTGTTTGCACACTGATAGCCACTTTGTTTAACAATCAAAGTTCCTTGGGTAGTACTTTTGCCAGTTTGCACATTTGAGCTAGCGGTGTTCTTTGAACGTAGAAAACATCACTTGATCCTCATCTGTAGCTCAATCAATATGCAATTACAACAGCAGCTCAAAACACTGACTTTTATCATTGCATTCTGTAGCTAGCCACCGTTTAGCAAATACTTAACTATCATAAACTGTGAGCAAGGAGGTTATAGCCATTGCTGTAAATGTATGTGTGTCTCAAGGTCAGAATGTGTTTTACTAAGAGTAGTTACATCTGTCCTTTGATAAGCAGGGCATGAAATTGGACTACCTACGATCTGTTAAATTTTGAATGGATGCCATGACGCTATGATACACTACACATACATGAACTCAACATTTTATTAGGACATCTTATTTTATTTATTGTTAAAATGCATGCAGAATGACTGTTGCGTCTAGCGTTTTGTTATTGCAGACCTAAAATACTAATGCTTATTTTATGCTGATCTATCTACGCTTTCTTGGTTCGTCTTGTATCCACAGTCCTGCTTTCCGGCGCCGGTCTATTCCTAGTTCTCCGTCGCATTTGAGTCGACTTCTGCAGGCCCTACAAGGAAAGACATCAAAAGACATTTAGAAAACCGCCGAGCAGATACATAGAAAGATAGATGTAGAAAGGATAACGGGGAAAAACATCACCAGACAATTCTCCCATTATTAAGTAAAAGTAGTTTGTCAACACAAATGAAATCTTGGACATTCCTTCCCGCTGAAAGCAGATTTAATGTCCTCATTTCACATTGATCGATAATTGATACCTTCTCCAATGTCCTCGCCCGTCTTGATGAAGAGGAAGTAGGTTGTCTTCTCCGGGTTGGTGAGGGGCTTATCGTATGAGAAATACGCCAACCAAGTCTGCAGTCAAGAATATGAGCAACAGCGATAAGAAATACGATAAGAAACATGACCTCGTAGAAAGCCATTGAGGCCATGACAAGTGATATCACTAGAAAGAAAGCACGATGAATGGTGCATAGATCGACAGTGGTCACTTGCTTTATCATATGGGACGTTTTCCTCGTCAAGTGTCTGCATCAAGGTTGAAATTGCTTCCGAAGCGACAGGCTCAGAGACATAACCCTTCACGGCGATGCCGTATCCACGGAAGTGTTCATCGGCTGTAAATATGCTCAGCTACATGTTCGAATAGAACAAAGCAACAACAAAGTCAATGTTAGGCGTTTTATATTGCTAGGCAACACAATGTGCTGATAACTTCATTCATCATTACGAAAGGATTTTGGTGAAGATAATACCAGATACGACAGTGTATGAGCAAGCGTGTTATTTATCCCTCATGCTACATTATAACTTACTCCTTTGGTATTCGGCTTTGGTATTTCCTTGTAGTCATCAGGCAGTCTGACACAGGCCTGGTACTCACGTTCACACGGAGGGATGCCCTTCTCCTCATCTTTAGCGGAGTAGAGTCTGGTCTGAGGTGGGACACGTTCAATATGTCACAGAATGTCCGAAACATTATCATCGTACTTAAATGCAACATAACTGATCTTGCTAAAAGATAACATACAATTGTAATTATTGTTATTTTAATGTAGCAAACCATATCCACTACATACCTTAAAGAGTGGGACGGCAAAGTTGCTGATCTTCTCCTTGGCGCTGTTGTCACCATTGAGATACCCTAGAATCGGCCTCATGAGCTGCCTGCCTGATACCTGAAGACCTCCACAGAGCTTGGTCTGGTGACACACGCTTCTACCTTTACGACAGATACAGTAAAATATATTAGGTGTGAGTGTTTTCTACCCAAGAGTGCAAACATTCATCATACGAGTATACACCTATACTTGCTTGCAGTACCGTCTATTTGATTGAATGATCCTCTAGATTAATAAGATTATACTAACAAAACCTTGACAGACCAGGCTACGTAGGTAGGTAGGTAGTTAATGAATCCTCACGACTTGGAAGGAGCAGTTCCATGAATTTGCTGTGGTTCTTAGTGACATAGACAGTCGGACAGACAGACTCGCTGCAGCCTGCTGGTTTTGGAAGAGCTATTTTCTCCTCTGATGGGTGTTCCTTCTCTTCTTCACCGTCAGCTTTTGCAGACGGCTCGTCTTTGTTACCTTCTTGGGGAGCCTTTGAGGAAATGACAATTATGCAAGAATCAGAGAATCTGCAAGTGTGAGGTATTTTCATCGCGGCGTATTGACACTGAATCGTGAAAGCATAATGGAGTGGTTTTGTTCTTAACTTCAAATTTGTACCCACGGTATTGAATTCAGACCCAAGAGACACATAGTTCGCTTCTGTTTGACTTTTTTTATACTTGAACAACCCGCAACCAAATACAATGTCGGAGTAAAGACCTTCAAAGTCACTCGCGGCAAAAATGACGTAATATAACAAAATGATATAGTGTCTTGCTTTTTCTTTTCACAAACTAACTAGTGAACAGCGGCCTGAAATTCCACCAAGAGATTAAATAATAAAACGTGGGTACATGCAGACATCTCAGTTCCTGATGGAGTTATATTGTCATACCTCTATTTGTCCTATGGTGAAGTCCCAAAGCCTATTCTCTTCGTCAGGGTCATCATAGGCGCCAAGCCATATGTCCTGCAATATAAAAATAGCAAGAATAAACACAGGCTGATACAAATGCTTTGCAGGTTGTATCGAAATAGGAGACCAGAAACGTTTTGTTAAATGTTACTTTTATCATATTCTCCAAAATAATTGAGTTTTTGGTATGAAGACGTCCAGGTTGAACCTTACGTTTACATCGACTTGAACTCCGAACGGCTTGAGGTTGTCCAGTTCCTCCTTCAGTTCCTTGAAGTGCTGCCTCATCACTGCTCCATCGTACTTGCCTGTGTACATGGTCTGGAAATACCTGTTGTTGTCTGCTTCAATACGACTGAAGGAAATCTACAGGAAAATTAAACAATGATTGTTGAAACTACGATTAGATACACTGATGCCATCAAGACATCTGCGGATGGCTATGAAGTTGCAATTAGCAATATCCCTACAAAGACCATCAATAAGACAGACTACTATTTACTATTTACATTAATATTTGAAGATCTGGCAAGGTCCCAGAGTATGTCAATACATCACCATACATTGACTCAATTGTTCAAACTACATATGTTACATTTTACGTGCAAATTACGTACTACCTTGTCGTCAATGGGCTTTGGTGGGTTGTCAGCAAACTTTTCAGGCAACAATATGCCCACGTGGCACTTTTCCTCGCCGACGTAAACCTGGAAGTTAACAATCCAGATATATTATTTCAGCCACACCGGCAAACCCTAGACATGAATTGCCTTTCTGCATTTCACTTATCTTCCCGTGTCATACAGTCCACCCTTGTAAACACTTCCATTCGCCATATTTCATAATGATGTCAATTATAAAAATGGTCTATTCTTTTTGTACACCAGTTCTAATCTCCAAATAAATATTTGCCAAATAACTTGAGCATGGGTTTTGCTGGGTGAAAATCATCCCGTGAATTGCACTTATGCTACAAATTGTTAAAGGATGAAACGAATGTTTTCCTACTTTACCTACTAGACAAACTGCATATGCATAGAAGCTACAAGAGGATTTGAAGAATACTTGCGTGGCGATCGGCATACAATGGTCTAGTCATGTCAATTTGCACTTTATCTTCATTCTTCCCATCGAGGTATGACAGCAGGGAATTCATAGCCTTGTAGAAACCGTCAGCGCTGTAGCAGCTCTTTGAGGTCTTGGAGTTGACCCAGTTTCCTGTCAAGACAGAAAGGGGAGGATGCAATTAACTCCAGAAGGAAAGTACAGAGTAACGTAATTTCAACAATTCACTGAAATATGACTGACTAGAAAGGTAACATTTTGTAAACCAAATGTTAACCTTCACCTGGTCCAGAACAACAAAATACTGCATTGTTTTATTTTTACTCAAAGTCAAATATATTCATATGTATGGTGGGTAGGCTCTCCAACTCTGTTCTGCTACGTAATGTAGCCGAATACCACAGTGTTGCTATAGCACAAGTTACCATGGTGACAGACGCTCGGTCCAGGTCATTGACTTGATTTTTTTGAATGGAAGGAGAAGAAGTAACTGAGCAAAAACAATATGCTTTTCCTTCTACAAAGGTGAACATAATAAAAGTTAGTAAATAGAAGGCATCATGTAAAGTGAAAGCACTGCGACATTGCAATGCTTCGTATACGCCATTGCTCAAATCGTAATTCATGTAACTGTTAACGATAAAGATACAAGTACCTGGTCCATTCAATTTAATCAGCTTCAGGTTGTTCTCAAGCCTCATGACGGTGGTCATGTTTGGGCACACGTGAGTGACACATTGGTCGCCCAACGATGGCTTCACCTCAGCCCGGCTGTAGTCTTTACTCACGGGGAGGTGGAAGGTGAAGGGTGGGCGGCCCTCCTGGTCACTACAGTCCAGGTCAACGTCAAGGTTGATCTGCAAGCCAAAGATCGCAAACAGAGCAGGACATTATCAACTTAAAAATGTGTCCATATCACGAGATTGTCAATGTTTTACTGTCCAAAGAATGATATATATAGCTAGTAAGGCTAACATTATGAGTAAGGCCCAAAACCACAGCCCCAGCCTGTGCTTTTCGGTAAAGAAAATAGTCTCGAAACTCCAATGCAGTGATTCTTTAGAAATCTCCATTGAGAGCCTTTTCTATAAAACCTTTTTCTCAAAACCTATGGCATGGCAGGTATGGAGTGAACTATGTTTGATAGCCTGCCTGTAATCATAGATTTGTAAGTCAAAGGGGATTATGATTATGGATTAGTATCAAAAGCCATAGTCAAAAGACGTGAAAAACCTCGTTGTGACGGTCAAACAGTCTGGACTGGGGATGGTATTCTACCACACTGACGTGATCACCCAGGAAACACTTCTTCTTGTCCCTGAGTCGTTCCATCAGTATCTTAGCTGTGGAAGTGATGGTGGTCGGCTCGTAGTAGGCATTGCCGCCAAAACACTTGGAGTAGTGTCTAATGGGTATAAATGAAAACGAATTCTGAATTTCATGTCTTTTTATATTCTATATGGATGGTTCGTCTTGAGTACTTGACATGGCTTGCAATCCTTGCAACACAACATTTTTTTTTACCTTGTACCAGTCGTCTGTCCCTGGTGCAGGGCTTCTACAGTCTTCGGCGTCTGGAAGCCACCTTCTTTATTCATCTGTATGTCCTATGAAAAAGTCAACATAACATCTGTTTAAGCACCATCATATGTTGACTTTTTAAAAACCACTTGTATGAAGACTTTTTAGTAATAAGATTAATGTACCTCTACACTCCCCTTTCCACCACCTGCAGCATACAGCACCTTGAAGAACTTCTGACAGCCTCCTTTCCCATCTAACTCCTCCCTCTTCTCCATGGCAACTGTGATCGTCATAGCAACGTCCGAGGGGGAGAAATCTGTAAGCAAAGGCACATTTTTAGCTCACAATCAGCAGAGACAGAAACATCAAAGCAAGGCAAGGGTATTTCTTAGAAGAATCTGCAAGTTGACTTAAAATGTTCTATACAACACTTCGCAGACGCTGGAGTCTTACCTGATGTGTTGTTAAGCGATTCCCTCAACGGACTGGCAGAAGCGTGAATGGCGGTGTCGTAGTAGCATGTAGGGGGTACGTAAGACAATGCCCTGATGTCCTTAGAACGCTTCAGCTGTATGCTAATGTCGTCAATACCTCTCACTTCCTTTGTCTCAACCTTTGGACACTTCTTGGGGTCTGCAAACGACGGGCATGTGAATGAATGTACCTTGTGTTGAAGTAATTTGCATTCCATATCTTACGACTAGTTTTATTTCTTGGGGTCACCAGTTACAGAATTAGACTTTGACATTTTTATTTTACTGCTCATATCAAATTCATGGCTTATCTTCAAGCAGCCATAAATTGTAATTGTTACAGTGATCTCTACCTAGAATGGGTAACGTTATATGCACCTTCACAGTACGTTGTAGAACACTGCTCCCGAGTTAACAGGGGGATGTCGCCCTGGTCCATCTTCTATGGTCTTCCCTTCACCACGGAGACACTTCGGGAGTCCCTGTCCTACTGCAGTGAGGTCGTTGAACTCCAGCCACTTGTAGGTTCTCTCGTTCATGGCGAAAACCGCAATCTCGGTGAAACGTTCACGGCCGTGAGCTTGGGAGTCCGTCGAACTGCTTTGCATAAGGAAAAGACGAAGCAAAATTAGCAACAAGAAGACATGAGCTTATTCACCTTCACCACCTTGAGATGCGAAGTCGTATTGGTAATACTAGTATCTGTATATGGTATTATACCTGCCATACTGCGCGACGTAGTAATATCCTTCATTCTCATGAATTGGCTCATCGTTCGCCTTCAGGGTCTTGAAGAATTTTTTTGCCTCCAGGTCAGCAACAAAGCCAGCTCTTGGAGAACGTCTTCCGAACTTCTTAACGTACATGATGGTCTCAGGGACAAGATCGATCACCACCTGCACATTTCATGTAACATGGACAGTCTGTTAACATTGATATATTCAAATACAGGGACGTAGGGAATACAGATGTAGTTAGGTCTGGTACAACATTTTTACCTTACAGCCCTGACGGATGTATCACACAAACTACCGAAACATTGGAAGGAAAATGTACATCGTTCTTTATAAACAAATACATTTGTTTAGGGTAAAACACGTACCCTGTGATCTGTTGGCTTTGGAGGGTTCTTTGCCACGTTCATAGGAAGAAGCGTTGACACTGTGATTTCCCTAACAGGACTCTCAGAAGGCATGCGGGTCTGTGTCATCAAGGGTGCGGTGTACGACATTTTGAGCCCTGAAGAACAATTTTTTATGATAAGAGTTGTCAGTGTATTGTTCACATCGATATGTGGCGTAGGAAGTGATTGTTGATTGTTGAAGCTAGACGAGCGCAACTTACGTTTCTCATTTTCCCCACCGAAGTAGTCATGTAAGCGTTTCCGTCCTCTGCCGCTGGCCTGGGAGAGGGACAGATCTGACATGGTGGTGGACACCCAGAGGGCGCTTTTGTACCGCCTCACGTCGTACTCTGGGGTCGAGCACAACAGCTCGAACTCAGGGCACTCTCCGGTACAGAAAGGTTCCAAATCACCTTCACTGCTGCCGATGAGAAAATGGAAGACTTTCTTCTTCATACAAGTGTAACTGCAAGTACTATCAAGGAGGTTTCTCTTTTTTTCATTCTCCTTGGTACCACTTGGTTCCACGTTGACAAAGAAAACAGAGCACATAAAAATGAATACAAGGAACATTTTTATGGAATACGCGTCTGTATTAAAATATATATAGAGAGATTATATTAACTATTGTAGATTTACTGTAACCAAATATTGTTAAAATGTGTACCTGTTCTCATCGCCTTGAGGATGCCCATGATGATAGTTGCCTTGACACACGCCCACACAGACCAGTAGAAAGGCCAACAACTGGACTTTGGACGCCATGGTCACCTGTGTTATAGAGTGTCGGGGTTTCTTACTTTGATGACTACGCAGGTCACTTCCTAAGGACCTTTTAAGTGGTTTGTTTTACGGATAAGTTATCGTGTTATGTACACGATAATTTAAATACCGGGTGCACTACATGGTGCAGTGCCTGAAGCCTACTGTTGACGCTGACATGTTTATAAATCCATGTGTGTTCCTCAAAGGCTGGTATGATAGAGCTAGTATTGTTGTTTAATTACAGGAGGTAATATTGATAAAGGCTCCAAAAGAAATCAGTTATCACAAGCATTATTATAAAATCATACTGACTAGACGTCTGCCGCAGTGTTGGTGTGTATACCGCCCCCCTCCCACCACCAGCTCCAAGGGAGGTTGTCATTTAAATAAAGACAACGAGAAACATAAAATGTAACTAGTAGATTACACAGCAAAACCTCCCCATTACGCTCTCAAATTGTGATGGAGATAGATATTTTTACTTCTAACATGTGCAAAGAAAAATGTACAAACCTCCAATGTCCTTTCCAGCGCAGTCACCCGATCAGGACACTTTTATGGTTGGCTGTGCGGCACTGAGAGGTTTTATACCTTGTGACTGTTTGTACACTGATAATCACTGATGTGTTAAGAACCAAAGTACGATGGGCACTTGTCCAATATGCACATTTAAGCGCCGTTCTTTGACCTCTTGTGCAGAAAGTATCCCTAACACCCCACCCCTATCAAAACAAGGACAGCTCGAAACAATGCAATTTAGTTCAACTGTAGCCACCGTATAGCAAAGACCCCCGCTACCAAAAACACGGCATGAAAAAAAGACGCATTAGTGTATTTTCATACACTATAATCTGTCCAATGTTCAGCTGAAGCGTGAACGCAATAATACACCACACACACATTGACTTTTCAGTGCAATGAATTAACAAGTTAAACGTTTTATTTGGAAAAGCGTGCAGAATGACTGTTGGCTAGCGTGTAGGAGTTACGTGTAGTTACATTGCAGAAAACACCTTAGGATGCCAATGTCAAATTAGGGCCTGATTGCTAGTTACTTTGTTATGTCTCATGTCTTGTGCATGGTCCTTCCTTCGCTTTCCGTTGCCGGTCTATATCTTCTAGTTCTCCGTTTCGTTTGAGTCGCCTTCTGTAGATTCTGTATTGAGAACGACGTCAACAGAGATTTAGAAAACTGCACAGCAGATACTTAATACAGCTAGAGATACATATAGAGAAGATGAGGGGGGGGGGTAAAAGAGGAGCCTCTACACCGGTCGACGTAGCATAAAAATGAAGCAAGAAACAGCAAGGCTGCTACTTTTTTAGTAGCAGAGGGAAACTAAAAATGTTTTAATTGAGTCATTTGATGTCCCCAGATACGCTCGTAACACCCGGATCTACCTAGTAGATTTGTCATACTTCTAAACGACAGGATATTTATTGTTACATTTTCAAAGAGTATTATAAAATTCTAAAGAGTTTGTCAATCACAAAATAAGAATTGAACATTCGCCGCCCCCCCATACACACACACCGGGGCTGCATTCTTATGCCGTTATTAAAAATTCAAAGTGCGCTACCTTCTACTATATCCTCGCCCCTCTCGTTGACGATGAAGTAGGTTATCTTCTCCTCCGGGTTGGTGAAGGACTGATAGTATGAGAAAGACGCCACCCAAGTCTGGAGTAAAGAACATAAGCAACATCGAAAAGCCTTTTATTACTAGCGATAGAGGACTCTCTGGTCATGACATCCAAGGAAAGTATAAGCCATAAGAGCAGTGACAACAGGCGATCCCGCTAAACAAAAGCATGTCAAAATACAACTGGAGTTTAGATAAATTGACAGTGATCACTTGCCTTTAAGTTATCATATGGGACGTTTTCCTCGTCAAGTGTCTGCATCAAAGTCGAAATTGCTTCTGAAGCGACAGGCTCAGAGACATAACCCTTCACGGCGATGCCGTATCCGCGGAAGTCGTTAGGGGCAGAAAATATGCCAAGCTAAATTTCAAACCAGAACAGAACAAAGCGAGAACAAAGTCAATTTCAGACATTTCTGTATTGATAAGCAACAAAATATTCGTCCAAACACTGAATTTCAATGAGATTTGAGAAGGGAAGCTGATGGAAACGAAGGTTTTCCTATAATATAACAATTATACCAGATACGATGCTGTCTGGCCTAAGATGTTGTTCATCTATCTTGCTAGCTTGACTCACCCCTTTCCCATTTGGTTTTGGTATTTCCTTGTAGTCATCAGGCAGTGTGACACAGGCCTGGTACTCACGTTCACACGGAGGGATGCCCTTCTCCTCCTCTTCAGCGGAGTAGAGTCTGGTCTGAGGTGGGACATCGTTCAGCGTGCCATAAACGTTAGAATAATGTCACAAACTTTATCAGCACACTAAATGCAACATTACTGGCTATGCTAAAATATGACATGGAGAAGCACCGCCGTATGACGAGAACATCATGAAGAAAGACAAAAAAGAGTTGCCTTTTTTATATAATTATGATCCTCAATGTAGCAAAGCATCCATGACATATACCCTAAAGAATGGGCCAGCAAAGTTGTTGATCTTCTGGTTGGCGCTGTTGTCACCATTGAGATACCCTAGAAGCGGCCTCATGAGCTGTCTGCCGGATACCTGAAGACCTCCACAGAGCTTGGTCTGGTGACACACGCTTCTATCTGCAGGAGGCATCATACATACACATATTCCATGTGTAAACTTTTCCGGATCACATCCAAGGTCACAAAACATCATAAACACTAATTTCTGCTTACAATACTTTCTATTTGAATGGATGACGCTCAGTCTACATTCGGTTATACTAATGAATCCTTACGACTTGGAATTAGCAGCTCCATGAAGTTGCTGTGGTTCTTGGTGACATAGACAGTCCGACAGACATATTCGCTGCAGGCAGCTGGTTTTGGAAGAGACGTTTTCTCATGTGATGGGTCTTCCTTCACATCTTCTTTGTTGTCAGCTTTTGTAGAAGTCTCGTCCTTGCTGCCTTCCTGAAAAGGCAATTATTCAATCATCAGGAATATAAGTGTAGGATACTTCGATCGTGTGATATGTGAATACTAAAATTTGATGGCATACGAGAGTGACGTTTTGTTTTTAAGTCCAACATTGGAGTTGCAGTGTCAAATTCAAATGTGGCCGCCAGCTTGAGCAACCACAACTTAAAGATAACCTTGAAGAAAAAACACTTTCAAAGCCACTCAGGTAAAAAAAAGGAAATACAAAATGTCATAGAATTTTTAAAAGCTTTTTGCCCTATTGCGTTCACAAAAATTATCTAAAAACGTGGCTACATTGCATATTTTCAGAGCCTGTGTGAACAAACGTTATAATGATATACCTTTTTTTGCCCTATGACAAAGTCCCAAAGCCTTTCCTCTACGGTTGGGTCATCATAGAAACCAAGCCATATGTCCTAAAATATTGTCAGGAAGAACAAACACAGATCTGTCTGACAGGTGTTTGTAGGGTGTATCGAAATGGAAACAATTTGTTATCATGTAGCTTTAATCATATTCTAAAGAAGCAGAAAAAAACTTGAAATTCTGGTATGAAGACTTCTAGGTTGAGCCTTACGTTTAAATCGGCTTGAACTCCGAACGGCTTGAGGTTGTCCAATTCCTTCATCAGTTCCCTGAAGCGTTGTCTCATCACTGCTTCCCCGTACTTACCTTTGTACATGACCTGGAAATACCTGCTTTTGCCTTCCTCAACACGGTCGAAGGTAATCTACAGGAACATGTTCAAACCAATATTAGCTGATAACATAATGTGTAATCATAGTACTAGCCATATACCGCTACACAGACCATCACAAACATAGAAAATTCGTATTGTCATTAGGACCCAGAGTATGACAACCAAACGCAGTTTTCTTTCTGTAACCATTGTTCAAATGTAATTCTGTTATATTCTACGTACAAATTCCGTACCTTATCGTTGATGGGCCTTGGTGGGTTATCGGAAAACTTCTCTGGCAACAATGTGACCAAATAACATTTTTTCTCGCCCGCATCAACCTGAAATATAAAGTCAAGATCGCTTGTAAAAAATCATGATCTGTCCCTTCTAAGTTTTCCTCTTTTTCATTTTGCGTGTCAGAAAGAGAGTTTGCTTGTAAGCACTTCCATTCATACCGTATCTTACATTACGAACGATGGCCATTGTCTAAATTTTTCTGCACACCAATTCTAATCCTCAAATAGAGAATTAACTTCAACAGACTCTCCTTCGATGGAAATCATCCGTGCTTTAAAATTGTAAAATAATATCCTGTCTTCCTACTTGATCACACCATAAGATTATTAACAGAAATACTATACACGTATTGAAGCTACAAAGGGCCTTTTAAAAATGTTTGAGAACATTACTTACAAAGCCACCGGCATACAGTGGTCTGTTCATGTCAATATTCACCCCATCCTCATTCTCCCCATTCAAGTATGACAACAGCGAACTTAGGGCCTTGAAGAAAGCATCAGCGCTGTAGCAGTCCTTTGAAGGCATCTCAGAGTAGACCCAGTTTTCTTTCAAGATAGAAATAGAATGCGTGTAACTCAGAGCAGAGCAAATCTATTTAAAATAAAATCATCTAAAAGTTACTGGTAGCGTGTAAAGTAGCCTGGCACATTCTGTACTACTTCGTATAAGGTGTTGCTCAAATCGTTACTCATGTAACAGTTAGGGCTACCTGGTCCATACTCAATCAGCTTCAGGTTGTTCTCAAGCCTCATGATGGTGGTCATGTTTGGGCACACGTGAGTGACACATTGGTCGTCCAACGATGGCTTCACCTCAGCCCGGCTGTAGTCTTTACTCACGGGGAGGTGGAAGGTGAAGGGTGGGCGGCCCTCCTGGTCACTACAGTCCAGGTCAACGTCAATGTTGATCTGCAAGCCAAGGATCGCAAACAGAGCAGGACATTATCAACTTAAAAATGTGTCCATATCACGAGATTGTCAATGTTTTACTGTCCAAAGAATGATATATATAGCTAGTACGGCTAACATTTTGAGTAAGGCTCAAAACCCCGGCCCCAGACTGTGTTTTTCGGTAAAAAAATAGTCTCGAAACTCCCATGCAGTGATCATTTAGAAATCCCCACTGAGTATCTTTTCTGTAAAACCTTTTCTCAAAACCTATGGTATGGCAGATATGAAGTGAAATGTGTTTTTTTTGCCTGCCTGTAATCACGGATTTGTAAGTCAAAGGGATCATGATTATGGATTAGTATCAAAAGCCATGATCAAAAGACGTGCAAAACCTCGTTGTGGCGGTCGAACAGCCTGGACTGTGGGTGATATTCTACCACGCTGACGTGATCACCCAGGAAACACTTCTTCTTGTCCCTGAGTCGTTCCATCAGTATCTTGGCTGTGGAAGTTATGGTGGTCGGCTCGTAGTAGGCATTGCCGCCAAAACACTTGGAGTAGTGTCTAATGGGTATAAACGAATTCTGAATGTTATGTCTATATAGCTGATTCATACACCAGAAGATGTCTACCATGAGTACTTGACAAGCCTTGCAATCCTCGCAACACAACATTTTATTTACCCTGTACCAGTCGTCTGTCCCTGGTGCACGGCTTCTACTGTCTTCGGCGTCTGGAAGCCAGCCTCCTTATTCATCTGTATTTCCTATGGAAAATCAAACATAATATCTGTTTTAGCACCATTATATGTTGACTTATTAAAAACCATTTGTATGAAGACTTTTCAGTAATAAGACAAATGTACCTCTACGCTCCCTTTCCCACCACCTGCAGCATACAACACCTTGAAGACTTTCTGGCAGCCTTCCTTCCCATCTAACTCCCCCCTCTTCTCCATGACAACTGTGATCGTCATAGCAACGTCAGAGGGGGAGAAATCTGTAGGCAAATTCACAGCGAGGTGGAAATTTTAGTCATATATTTAAACAACATTGGCTCTTTTGCTGCCTAGTTGTAGGAAAATACATCTATTATTCTTTATCTCACATCGTAATAATAATCTTTAACAGACCAGTCAATACACGTTTTTAAGCAACGAAATGACATTAGTACTTGGAAAATGGACCACAACCGACTCAACGTTTCTCTTCATGTCTAGTTATAGACCTTACGGAGCCGGTGTACTTTTGTTGTGTCAATTAAGTTTCTATCTTTTTCTATCTAAATTGATCAAGTTGTTTTCTGTACAATAACTCTGATTACCTGATGTGTTTAGAGACTGCAACAGCGGACTGGCAGACGCGTGAATGGCGGTGTCGTAGTAGCAGGTGGGCGGTATGTATGACAACGCCTTGATTTCCTTTTTTTCTTCAGTTGTATGCTCTTGTCGTCAATACCCTTCACTTCCATTGTCTCAACCTTTGGACACTTCTTGGGCGCTAAAAGAACGGACATGTTAATAGATTTTTCATGTTCAATAGGATGTGCCATGTTCAAGTAAGCTTTAAGTTAGCTTTGTTCCATATATTTGGGGAGGGGTGCCTATGTGCCACCTTTGTGTCTTGTATTACCTTGGCTCAGTGGTCACGGACAGTAAATTATCCTCAAATAGCCATACATGGCTAATGTTACAATAATCTCTAGCTAGAATATATGCCCAAACATACCTTCACAGTACGTTGTAGAACACTGCTCCCGAGTTAACAGGGGGATGTCGCCCTGGTCTATCTTCTCCCAGACTATGGCCTTCCCTTCACCACGGAGACACTTCGGGAGTCCCTGTCCTTCTGCAGTGAGGTCGTTGAACTCCAGCCACTTGTAGGTTCTCTCGTTTATGGCGCAAACCGCAATCTCGGTGACGCTTTGGCGGCCGTGGCCACTGTTTTGAATAATGAAGAAGAATCAAAAGTGACTAGAGGAGCACATCAGCCCAGGCACCTTCAAAATCTTGGAATGCGAAGTCGAATTGGTAATATCTGTATGGTATTATACCTGTCATGCTGCGCGACGTAGTAATAGCCGTCATTTTCATGGAATGGCTCATCATTATCCTTCAATGTCTTGAAGAAGTTTTTGGCCTCCAAGTCAGCGACAAAGCCAACCGTTGAAGAACGTGCTCGGAACTTCTTAACGTACATGATGATCTCATGGACAAGATCAAGCACCACCTACACATTTCGTGGAAAATGGAGATTTGATATATTCAAATACAGGCTACTGAACATTGGTAGGTATAAATAACATAATATTAAGAACACTTCACATCCCATTGTTATCTATTTGTTTATGGTAAACCACATACCCTGGGATCTGTTGGCTTTGGAGGGTTCTTTGCCACGTTGCAAGGAAGAGGCATGGACACTGTGATTTCCCTAAGAGGACTCTCCGAAGGTATGCGGGTCTGTGTCACGAAGGGTGAGGTGTACGACATTTTCAGCCCTGAAAAATCCAATTTGAATATATTCCTCCAGAAAAAAACTTTCTTGCTCATCAAAGGATATTGCCTAAAGAAACGGTGTCATTATGTCTTTTAACTTAAAAGCTAACAGAAACGTGTTTTTGTAAGCATTGAGCAGCATAAGGTTTATGAGCCTAAGCTTAATGATGAATTCTGTTATTTCTTAGTTACTCATAAAACCTACACCCCCAAAATATGCGGAATGATGAATTGACGGCGACATTGGCCATGTGTTCATATTTAATGTTTCTCAATGCATATTTATATCGATTTGTCGCGCAAGAATTGAGGGTTGATTTCTATTATAATAACGATGAACGCGCGAGTGCAACTTACGTTTGTCATTTTCCCCTCCGAAGTAGTCGTGTAAGCGTTTCCGTCCCCTGCCGCTGGCCTGGGAGAGGGACAGATCTGACATGGTGGTGGACACCCAGAGGGCGCTTTTGTACCGCCTCACGTCGTACTCTGGAGTCGAGCACAACAGCTCGAAATTTCCGACACAGATATTTCCCGAAACATCCTCATTACTGTCAATAAGAAATGGAAGACTTTCTTCTTCATACAAGTGTACAAGTACCACCAAGGAGGATTGTCTTTTTCCCACTACCCTTACTACAACTAACTATCAATTCGGTAAGATGAAGAACACAGAACACATCAAAATGAATTGTCTGTAGGTTTGTGAAAGGAAAGGGAACATGGAATACACGTCTCTCTCTCTCTCCCTCTCTCTCTCTCTATATATATTCTCTCTCTCTCTCTCTCTCTCTCTCTCTCTCTCTCTCTATATATATATATATATATATGGGATTCTATTTACTAATGTAACTTTACTGACTTTACTGCAACCAAATACTGTTAAACTGTGTACCTGTTCGCATCGCCTTTGCCATGACACACGCCCACACAGACCAGAAGAAAGGCCAGCAACAGGACTTTGGACGCCATGGTCACCTGTGTTACAGAGTGTCAGGGTGTTTTACCTTGATGACTACGATCCACGAAGGCACTATTAAATTAAATTTTTAGTGGTTTGTTGCACAGATACTTTCTCCTTTTATGTACATGGTGATTCAAATACCGGGTGCACTACATGGTGCAGTGCCTGAAAGCTACTGTTGACGCTGACATGTTTATAAATCGGTGTGCTCATCAAAGGCTGGTATAATTGAACTGGCTTAATTGTTACTGGTGGTAAAATTGATTAAGGCCCCCAAAAGAAACCAGTAATAAAAAGCTGTAGCATCATTATAAAATCATAATGATTAAACGTCTGTCGCAGTGTTGGTGTGTATCCCGCCCCCCTCCCACCCAGCGCCTGCTGCAAATGAGGTTGTCATAAAAAAGACGAGATATATTCAATGCAACTAGCAGACAACACGGAAAATTATCCCCATGACGCTCTCAAATGTTGATGGATAGAATTCTGCAACATTTACTACTTCTAAAATGTGCAAAGAAAAGAACAGAACAGAACAAACCGTCACTCCCCTATCCAGCGCAGCCAGCCAGTCAGGACACTTTGGCGTTGGCTTTCCGGCACCGAGAGGTTGTACATATGTATACCTTGTGACTGTTTGCACACTGATAATCACTGATGTGTTTTAAAAGAGCCAATGTACAATGGGCACTTAGCCAATATCCACATTTAAGCGCTGTTGTTTGACCTCCCGTGCAGAAATCATCCTTGACCCCCTGCTCCTATCAAACACAACAGGAACAGCCCCAAACAATGAATTTTAGTTCGAACTGTATTCTGTAGCCACCGTTTAGCAAAGACAACACTGCCATTAACTTTGTCTCTCTTTATCTCTGTCTTTATCTCTTTATCTCTCTCCCCATCTCTCTCTGTGATCCTGTGAGTGTGTGAAAGCTATTATGTTTTAACCAAGCGTCGTTCATATCTGGCCTGAGATAAACGGCGTCCAAAATACACATTATCGTATCTTTATGGCCTATGATCTACCCAATGTTAAGTTGAGGCATCGACGAAATTATACACAACGCACTTTGCCTTTTCAGTGCAATGAATTGACAACGTTTTATTAAACATGCATGCAGAATGACTGTTGGCTAGCGTGTAGAAGTTAGGAGTTATAATATTGCAGGCAACAGTTGTTAATGTCTAATTTATCAGGGCCTGATGGCTAGTTATAATTTCTTATGCTATGTCTTGTGCATGGTCCTGTCTTCGCCTTCCGTTGCCGGTCTTCGTATGTTGTCTAATTCTCCGTCTCGTTTGAGTCACGTTCTGTTGGTCCTGTAGAGAATGAAGCCAACAAAGATTAAGAAAACTGCAGGGCAGATACCTATAAAAAGAGAGGGAAGATAAAGGAGAACAAACCTCTCCTTTCCGCAAGAGGAGTTTGTAGCGATGACGATCTTTAGAGGTATTTTGGTTAAGTATTTGATTCAGAAAAAGGGAAAAGGTTTCATTGTCGCAATCAACGCTAGATGGTAAAAGAAGCGCTTGTAAATCTGTCCACGTAGCATTAGGACTCCTCAAATGAAAGTCGTTAGTTAACATATAGGTGAGTGCACTACCTTCTCCAATGTCCTCGCCCATCTTGATGAAGAGGAAGTAGGTTGTCTTCTCCTCCGGGTTGCTGAGGGGCTTATCGTATGAGAAATACGCCACCCAAGTCTGGAGTCAAGAACATAAGCAATCCATTCATTACTACCAATAAAGAACTCTCTTATCATGACCTGAAAGGAAAGTATAAGCCATAAGAGCAATGACAAGAAGCGATACTGCTGAAGTAAATCACATACAAATACACCCGACAGTGGTCACTTGCCTTATCATATGGGACGTTTTCCTCGTCAAGTGTCTGCATCAAAGTCCAAATTGCCTCTGATGCGACAGGCTCAGAGACATAACCCTTCACGGCGATGCCGTATCCACGGAAGTGTTCATCGGCTGTAAATATGCTCAGCTACATGTGAGGGCAGAACAGAACAGAGCAAAAAATATTGGTCCACAGAATAAGTTTGAGTCAATTTTGAATTTTGATAAGAAATGGTGTTGATAACTATATATAACGGAGGATTTCCTATGTTCTTATTATTAACTTAAAACCAGATACGAGGATGTGTGAGCAAGCGTGTTATTCACCCCTCTTTCTAGATTCTAACTTACCCGTTCGGTATTCGTATTTGGTATTTCCTTGTAGTCATCAGGCAGTCTGACACAGGCCTGGTACTCACGTTCACACGGAGGGATGCCCTTCTCCTCCTCTTTAGCGGAGTAGAGTCTGGTCTGAGGTGGGACACGTTCAATATGTCACAGATTTAAGAGAGCCACGAACATTATCGTCTTACTGGAATGCGACGTTAATAATCTTGCAAAGAGATAAAGCAGTCAACAAGTGCAGCAAAGATGCTTTTTTACACATTACACATAGCAAAGCATTCATGATAATGTATACCTTAAAGAGTGGGACGGCAAAGTTGTTGATCTTCTGGTTGGCGCTGTTGTCACCATTGAGATACCCTAGAATCGGCCTCATGAGCTGTCTGCCTGATACCTGAAGACCTCCACAGAGCTTGGTCTGGTGACACACGCTTCTACCTTTGTGGCGATTATTATCATTATTACATTAGATGTGGATGCTCGTTTCTTACCAAAGGTTACAAAAAACATACACAATAATTTCTGCTTGCATTACTGTCTATTGGAAGGAATGACACTCAATGTATATTCATCATCATCATTATCTGATGATGATGATGAATATGAATATATATTACGATGATACCCCATCTATATTCGGTTATATTAATATATCCTCACGATGTGGAAGTAGCAGCTCCATGAAGTTGCTGTGGTTCTTAGTGACATAGACAGTCGGGCAGACAGACTCGCTGCAGCCTTCCGGCTTTGGAAGAGGTATATTCTCATCTGATGGGTCTTCATTCACATCTTCCTTTCCAGCTTCTGTAGAGGTCTTGTCCTCGCTACCTTCTTGGGTAACCTTTGCCAATAAGGGAAATATGCAAGCATCGGAGGATCTGTAAGTGTAAGCAGCTAGCGATGTACCAACACGGGTATTCGACAGCATATGATAATGCTTTTTGGGGTGCAATGTCGGATTCACAAAAATTGTTCTGTGTGGCCTTCAGCTTGACTAACCTATAAAGACAAGACTGAATATGCCACAATTAGCATTAATGCATATATTATATCATAAGATCATGTTTTCGTTCTCTAGCCAACAGCACAACTGGCCTATATATAACGGCCCTGACTGGTGCTATAAATACGTGGCTGCAAGCAAATATACCAGAGCCTGAAGGAACAAAAGTTATAGTGACATACCTTTTTTTGCCCTATTTCAAGGCTCCAAAGCCTTTCCTCTAGGTATGGATCATCATAGGCACCAAGCCACATGTCCTGGAATATTATCAACAGGACGGACACAGGCTGGTACGAATGCGTTGTATTTTTTTTATAAATGGAAACTTACAATCAGGAAGCTTAAACTTGCAACCAACCAAACTTACAAACGATTTGTTAGAAGGCAAACTTAAATCAATTCTCAAAAGGTAAAAAAAATTATTGCATTAAGAATTGGTTGAACCTTACCTCTAAATCGACTTGAACTCCGAACGGCTTGAGGTTGTCCAGTTCCTCTTTCAGGTCCTTGAAGCCTTGTTTGGTCACTGCTTCGAACGTACCTTTGTACATGGCCTGGAAATACCTGCTGCCTACTTTAAGACCTCCGACGGTAATCTACAAGAAGATGAAACACTGATTGTTGAAGCTAACATCAATGATATTGATGTTGTAAAGAGGTGGATGGAATATAATTTTAGTAGCAGCCATATACCATTATATAGACTTTCAACCAAGGACTTGGAGTATGGCAAGGCAACTTCTGCAACAATGGCACGAATACATTCTACCTGAAAAATACGTACCTGATCGTTGGTGGGCTTTGGTGGGTTATCGAAAAACTTCTCTGGCATCAATGTGCTCAAGTAGCACTTTTTCTCGCTGACATAAACCTGAAATAGAACCAGATTCACTTTAAAAGAAAATCGTGACCTGTTCCTCCGTAGTGAGTCCATTCTGCTTTTCACAGTCGTTTCGTGTCAGGTAGAGAGTTTTCACTCGTAAGCACTTTCATTCATACCATAATTAATATTACAACCGATGACTATTTACTGCTATTTTAGTGCAAAGAATTATATTCGAATGTGAAAACCATCATTGCAATTGTATGTTTTTTGTGTGCTATAGAATTATTGTGTGAGTGTAACATATCATTTCTCATTTGATCACATTAGACACATAAACAGAAGCTACAACAGGTCTTCAATATTACTTACATCGCCACCGCCATACAGTGGTCTGGTCATGTCAATTTCTATTTCATCTTCATTCTCCCCATTCAAGTAAGACAGCAGGGGATTCAGAGCCTTGTGGTAAGATTTAGTGCCGTAACAGTTCTTTGCAGGAAGCTTGGAGTAGATCCACTTTACTGTCAAGGAAGAATTGAAAGGATATTATAATAGTTTTAAAATTCCCAAAGAAAACCAGAGAGGAAAGATGATTTCATCTTAGTAACGGAAAAACGATCACAAACGTTACTACAGTAGTACTGTAGTAGCCAGTATGTAACAGAAAGCCCTGGCATACTTTGTATATCTTTGAGATATAAATACGCCATTGCTCAAATTGTTATTCAGTTAAAGATACATGTACCTGGTCCATACTCAATCAGCTTCAGGTTGTTCTCAAGCCTCATGATGGTGGTCATGTTTGGGCACACGTGAGTGACACATTGGTCGCCCAACGATGGCTTCACCTCAGCCCGGCTGTAGTCTTTACTCACGGGGAGGTGGAAGGTGAAGGGTGGGCGGCCCTCCTGGTCACTACAGTCCAGGTCGACGTCAAGGTTGATCTGAAGCCAAGGATCGCAAACAGTGCAGGACATTATCAACTTAAAAATGTGTCCATTTTACGAGATTGTCAATGTTTTACTGTCCAAAGAATGATATATATAGCTAGTACGGCTAACATTTTGAGTAAGGCTCAAAACCCCGGCCCCAGACTGTGTTTTTCGGTAAAAAATAGTCTCGAAACTCCCATGCAGTGATTATTTAGAAATCCCCACTGAGTATCTTTTCTGTAAAACCTTTTCTCAAAACCTATGGTATGGCAGATATGAAGTGAAATGTGTTTTTTTGCCTGCCTGTAATCACGGATTTGTAAGTCAAAGGGATCATGATTATGGATTAGTATCAAAAGCCATGATCAAAAGACGTGCAAAACCTCGTTGTGGCGGTCGAACAGCCTGGACTGTGGGTGATATTCTACCACACTGACGTGATCACCCAGGAAACACTTCTTCTTGTCCCTGAGTCGTTCCATCAGTATCTTGGCTGTGGAAGTGATGGTGGTCGGCTCGTAGTAGGCATTGCCGCCAAAACACTTGGAGTAGTGTCTAATGGGTATAAACGAATTATGAATGTTATGTCTATATAGCTGATTCATACACCAGAAGATGTCTACCATGAGTACTTGACAAGCCTTGCAATCCTCGCAACACAACATTTTATTTACCTTGTACCAGTCGTCTGTCCCTGGTGCACTGCTTCTACTGTCTTCGGCGTCTGGAAGCCAGCCTCCTTATTCATCTGTATTTCCTGTGGAAATTGAACATAATATCTGTTTTAGCACCATTATATGTTGACTTATTAAAAACCATTTGTATGAAGACTTTTCAGTAATAAGACAAATGTACCTCTACGCTCCCTTTCCCACCACCTGCAGCATACAACACCTTGAAGACTTTCTGGCAGCCTTCCTTCCCATCTAACTCCTCCCTCTTCTCCATGACAACTGTGATCGTCATAGCAACGTCAGAGGGGGAGAAATCTGTAGGCAAATTCACAGCGAGGGGGAAGTTTTCGTCATATATTTACACAACATTGGCTCTTTTGCTGCCTAGTTGTAGGAAAATACATCTATTATTCTTTATCTCACATCGTAATAATAATCTTTTAACAGACCAGTCAATACACGTTTTTAAGCAACGAAATGACATTACTTAATTGGATAATGGACCACAACCGACTCAACGTTTCTCTTCATGTCTAGTTATAGACCTTACGGAGCCGGTGTACTTTTGTTGTGTCAATTAAGTTTCTATCTTCAAATTGATCAAGTTGTTTTCTGTACAATAACTAATGATTTTACCTGATGTGTTTAGAGACTGCAACAGCGGACTGGCAGACGCGTGAATGGCGGTGTCGTAGTAGCAGGTGGGCGGTATGTAGGACAACGCCTTGATATCCTTTTTTTTCTTCAGTTGTATGCTCTTGTCGTCAATACCCTTCACTTCCATTGTCTCAACCTTTGGACACTTCTTGGGCGCTGAAAGAACGGACATGTTAATAGATTTTTCATGTTCAATAGGATGTGCCATGTTCAAGTAAGCTGTGAGTTAGCTTCGTTCCATATATTTGCGGAGGGGTGGCTATTTGCCTCCTTTGTGTGTTCTATTACTTGGGCTCAGTAGTCACAGAATTCAACTTTGGTATTTCATTCTCACTACGTGTAAAGAATATCGCACGTCTGTAGGTTATCCTCAAGCAGCCATACATTGCTACTGTTACAGTAATCTCTACGTAGAATATATGTCCAAACATACCTTCGCAGTACGTTGTAGAACACTGCTCCCGAGTTAACAGGGGGATGTCGCTCTGGTCCATCTTCTCCCACACTACGGTCTTCCCTTCATCACGGAGACACTTCGGGAGTCCCTGTCCTACTGCAGTGAGATCGTTGAACTCCAGCCACTTGTAGGTTCTCTCGTTCATGGCGAAAACAGCAATCTCGGTGAAGAGGTGTCCGCTGTGGCCCGTGGAACTGTTTTGGCTAAAGAAAAGACGAATCAAATGTAGAAACAAGAAAACGTAAGCCCAATCAACTTCAAAATCTTGGGATCTGTGATAGCCATATAATATGTTATTATACCTGTCAATGGGATACTGCGCGACGTAGTAATAGCCTTCATTCTCATGAATTGGCTCGTCGTTCGCCTTCAGGGTTTTGAAGAATTTTTTGGCCTCCAGGTCAGCGACAAAGCCAACCCCTGGAGGACGTCCTTGGAACTTCTTAACGTAAAGGAGGGTCTCAGGGACAAGATCGATCACCACCTGCACATTTCATGGAACATGCACAGCCTGTTAACATTGATATTCAAATACAGGCTACTGAACATTGGTAGGTAAAATTACATAAGAATTCTTATTCTTCACATTCATTTGCTATCCATTTGTTTAGAATAAAACACATACCCTGGGATCTGTTGGCTTTGGAGGATTCTTTGCCACGTCCACAGGAAGAAGCGTTGACACTGTGATTTCCCTAACAGGACTCTCAGAAGGCATGCGGGTCTGTGTCATCAAGGGTGAGACGTACGACATTTTCAGCCCTGAAAAAAGTCCAATGTCGAATGTATATTTTTCCAGAAATAACATTCTTTCTCATCAAAGGATATTACGTAAAGAGAGGTTGTAATCTATGTTATACGTTTACTGAAATATGTTATTTTCAAGTACTTAGCAGCATGAGTTAGTACATATCGATTAAGAAATTTTGATTTTTTTTTAGTTTTATGAAAAATTCTGTTCAATAGTGTTTCGTTAACATACACTCAAAAATATGTATAGTGATAAATTGACAGTGACATTGGTCATGTATTCATTGATAAAAATATGTTTGTCAATATGAATATCTATTTATTACGCAATAGTTGAGGTTTGATTGTGATTATTATGATGATGAACGCGTACAACTTACCTTTGTCATTTTCCCCTTCAAAGTACTCATGTAAGCGTTTCCGTCCCCTGCCGCTGGCCTGGGAGAGGGACAGATCTGACATGGTGGTGGACACCCAGAGGGCGCTTTTGTACCGCCTCACGTCGTACTCTGGGGTCGAGCACAACACGCACTCGAACTCAGGGCACTCTCCGGTGCGGACGGGTTGCTGGTTTTCGCTGTAAACATGAAGAGAAGGGAGACACAATTGCCTATGTGTCCACTCCTAAAACTTCACAGTCCCAAGAGTACACGCTCGGGTTTGAACCCGGATCAAAAATCCAAATCCTAACACCCTGATCCACTATACGCCACAAAACAACACAGTGTTGACGCAGTGTTCGTACTAAAACACTTAAATTTTGCCTTTCTGTGATACTGCATTAGCTTCAGCTCTTAGCGTTGCATTGTTTTGCTTTAACTTACAAACTCCGAATCTAGCTTAACCTGTTTATAAAGACGGTAAAAGACAACTAAAGCAACAATCTAATTTCTCGGTGCTTGAATCTTTGCGGGAAATCATGATCAATGGAGCGACATTATTTTGTGATGTCTCTATGTATTATATTTTAGCGACTTTTAGTTTAGGTGTTGTATCATGTTCTTGTGTACCTGATCGAACCTTGCAGAATCTATATGTATGATATGCTGTGTGTACCTTGTTTCATCGCCCTGATGATGTTTCAGATGATCGTGGCCATGACACACGCACACACAGACCAGCAGAAAGGCGACCAACAGGACTTTGGACGCCATGTTAAACTAGATCATCAAACATGAAATGATTGAACATAATCAACATCGAGGAATCATAACTGTAAACTTCTGGTTTTGATACAAATACTCCCTCAAGTATTAGGAAATCCTTGGTATATAAAATATGCAATTGACAATGGTTTGGGTTTGATCAGCAATTTATGAACGGAAGGCGACATGGCAAGTTAAGGGCCAAGTTCAAAAACACCAAGTACACTTGATCTGTATTATCAAGTATGCAAATAAGCAAGGTATGTGGTGACGTCAGGGCATGCGCACAAGGTATTCACCGCTGCGTACATATTCAGTCGCGTTAAGTAACCCCTGATGAAGTTAACCCTATCTATATAGACCGGGCTTTTTGGGGATTCGTGGGACGGGGGGGGGAACTCGCGAACGGTATATTCTATGACCACCAAATTTTCAGAGGATGGTGTACTAGTAAAAATTTATCATAAATACAATTATGATCGCAATCTGATACTGGAACTGTTGGTTGAATTCGTGCCCACTCTAGACGAATCAACAGGAAAACTACACTTATAATTTGATTATCATACTCTGATGCGTTATATTTACCAAATAATGATTGGGAAAATCATAATGAATAAGTCATAATTCAACATCAAAAGATGCAAATTAACTACAACAAAACCTTCACAGTCCTGTCCAGCACAACCGGTCAGTCACTGCTGTGTTGAATGTTATCCGTGCAAGTTTTGGAGATCTTGTGACTGTTTGCACAGTCTTGGAGCAACGTTCAATACATATGTGCTATTAGTCCAATGTCAGACGATTGACCTCAAATACACGAAAACAATCCTCGCCCTTTGGTCATTATACGCGCTCTTTAAAATAGCACAAAGTCTGTCAGCAATTTATCGCCCGCTCTTGTACGCGAACTTTAAACTCAAATGCGTTGATACCTATATTGAAACACTTAAGTAGGGTCAATCGCTAGAGCTCATACAGTACGAGTCTTTCACAGGATATCCTACTAAGGAAAAAATTCAATCTATCTGTTGTTGATATTGTGTTATTTACGTTTCAAATTATGGAATTTGTTGCAATTATTTTCTTCTTCTTACTGTCTCCCCTGTTGTTGCCTAATTAGCTGATTTACATATATATATATATATTATTGACTTTGGTTGCTATTATTTCAAGTTTCATCTTACTGTATATTCATATTGTTTTGTCATCTGCATTATAGTAGATCAAGTACTATTATTTCGAGTTTTTTTTCCCTGCTGTTATCCTTTTTTTATCTCCATTGTATTTTTGGATCCGTGGATTATTTCTCTGTTACCATTACGTTATTACTTTTTGCTTTGTTCATGTCTTGTCTGTACATGTTTTTGTATTTCGAAATACCAATAAAAAATTCAATCTCTCTATTGAAAGAAGTTGCACGGATGAAAAACAAGCTTATTGTATTCTGGTATGTGAAGATATTTAATGTGCTCATTCAACTAGACTTCAGTGATAACTAAATACCCAAACTCTGGTTATATTAGTCAGATTCATTTATTCAACTAAACGTAGTAAATTCCATACATTAGGAAGGTCCTGTATATGTAACGGTCACCGTTATCGCCAGCTATGGTAAGAGTCGTTGTCTCATTTTTACCGAGCAATCTATCTTCTGCCAGATCAATTACGCCATCCTTTTCATGACGCCTCAGGGTTTTGATTAACTATGCTTGACTCTGACTCGGACTGCAAAAGCAGTTTCAAGTGCACAAATTACGATTTTAATTGTCCCATGTATCACCGACTTTGTTCGAGAATTCCATCCCATGTATTCTTTCGTGGCAGTTTTCCGATCTCTCCCCTCTTACTCGCCATCAGTGGGATGTACTGTAAGATGAAAACAATGATAAAATTATAACAGAGATTGCCCCATAAATATACTATACAGATTTATCTTGACCTTTGGATTCTTATATTTGCCTGCCTTGGGCTAGAGTAGACCTGCAGTTGGTTTGGTTTGGGCCCATGATCATGATAATGACCATTCTGGCATACTCATTTTCACCTGAGTGACGTGAGGAAAGTCGTGTAAAGTGCCTTTCCCAAGGGCACAAGGTTGGTGACTTGGCAGGACTCAAACCCGGGACCTCTTGCTTCTGAGCCAAATGCTCTGCCATTACGCCATACAAACCCACATTTGCCTGCCTACATTCTCTATCAGGCCTCTTGCTTGATTGTTGTTCAGAGTTTGTCCATCAGATTATAAAATATAAGATTACGCTTTTGGTACAGGGCAGGGCTAGTGCACCATACAACTTTCATGTCGTATCAAATTTGTTCTAAAGTTACAGGTTTCAAAAATCAAATTAGCATTGATGCTTTAAAAACTCTTCAGACATACCTCCATCCGTCATGGCCTGGTCCTGGAGGAAGGCAAAGTAGACTGTCTTGTCCTCCTCCTTTTTGGGGAAGTCATCCATGTGTGCGAATATCAGCAACCAGTCCTGGTGTGTAAACAGAAACAAACAAACAAATAACAATAACAACTGTTTCAGCAAACAATCGATAAATCAGATTGTGATTATTTTTATGTTGTGATAACCATGGATCGGAATAAACTTTTAGACTTTTCATACAGAGAAAAAAATGTTGTTGAAATCTTGAAAGATTTTCATTAAGCTTGAAAGATATAGATTTTAAAAACATACTTATTTGCTGTATGTATTGTGAGTTTGCATATGTACATGTATAATCTTTTTTATTTCCATGGTGCCATGTACATGTAGTATTTGGCCAATAGACTTACCGATTGACCACGTTTCGTTAAAAAAGCTAGAACTGATCAGTTCTTACCTGGCTGTACTTGACCTTCTCGGCGTTCAGTGTCTGTATGAGCCGGATGGTTGTGGCAGGGATGTCGATACTGTTGAAAGACCCCTTCACACCGATGGCGTAACCGTGAGCTCCATCCCCGGCGTCAAATGTCGCCATCTGTGTTGTAAATGATGGTGCAAATTTCAACCAGTATGCAAATTGTATGCAAATTACGTGCAGAATCGCGTTGCAGATTACGTGCAGAAATTTCTTTCCGATCATTTTTCTATCCTTAGATTTGAAGTATGAAGTCCCTTGATTTGGTAAATGTTAGCTTAAAAGGAACCATAAATTATGATGTTATGTAACTTAGGGTCTAGAACTAATCTTAATAGTGCTAGCAAATTGTGTACCGATATATAGTAAAACTTCTATATAGTAATCAATGACACATCAGCCAACAGCCTAGTTCCATACTTCAGTGTCTGCTCAAAAGAGATCAAAACGGTATTATGTATCACTGCACGAAATATCGATAAGAGTTGCCTCACATTCTCTCCGTTTGGTTTTGGAATGTCCTTGTCCGCGTAGGCAGAAGGCAGCGATGCGCAGAGTTGGAACTCACGCTCACATGCCTCAACACCGGCCAGTTCCTCTTCAGGGGAGTAGATCTTTACCTTTTAGTAAATAAACATAGAAAAAAAATCATCAAAATTAAAATGGAGGCCATACCCGGGTAAATTGCGCAGGGGTAGAATCTACGTTATTCACGGACTCGGTGTCAGGCCAAATACATGGCTCCGGCACTAGTTGGGGCTTTCCAATCAATATAAGACAAGGGGTGGGAGGGGGTCGGTCGTCATGTGGGAGACTAAACCCTGATCGTAGGTCTAACCCTTGAACAATGATCTCATACCTAACCCTAACTCTAATACCAACCCTAACCCTAACCCTAAACACCTGACCTCTCACGTATGTTGCAGCTCAAGGATTTGGCTCAACACCGGAATCTATTCCCTTTATAAAACTGAACAGAAACGACGTACAAAATGCTCAAAATGTAGAAAGTTCTCAAGTAGAACTTTAATCTTATTTTTTCATTACCTGGAAAACCATGGGGTCCTTAATGTCTCCAATCGTCTCCTTCTCCTGGTTGTTTCCGTTGAAGTACTTGTAGACGGGCAGGAAGAGAGCTCGGCGGGGGGACCCGTGTCCACAGCCTTTCACATACTGGCAGACACCCTTGGCTGTAAAGGGTAAAGATAATTGGGCTACAATTTTTTTCTTGATTTATTTTCTTATGGTTTATTTCAGGCACGCGAGCCATCTCATGCCAACATTTTGTAATGCTAGTATACAAAAAAATTACTACACATACATATAAACCACGATTATAGTGTGGCTAAAACTATTATGTTGAGAGGTTAATTGGTAAAGAAAGTTGAAATAATGTGCTCACATTTGGGGAAGTATATTTCTATGTAGTTGTCGTGCTTCTTGGTGACTTGGACGGGATTACAGGTGGGCAAACGGCAATCCTTTGGAACCAGGTCCAGGACCTCTTCATCCGGATACTCTCCCTCCTCTGCCTTATCCTCGGAATCTTCCACCTTCTCACTGTCCTGTTACATGTTTCAATCAAAGATTTTACCGTTATCGTTTTTATCGCTGTGTTAACAGTGTGGTGCTGCTTGTTTCTGGAAAAATCACACAACAAAAAATGTTGAAGAATCGTAACAAGATAGGTCGTAAAAAGACCCTGGCGACGCTGAGATGTTTTTTTTGTACTTTACAAACAAATGCAGAAAAATTGTTTTAAAAAACTACTCACCTTCCAGTAAATATGCTGGAACAAAAGAAAGACGTTTTACATTAATATGTACTTCTACGCTAATCTCATGTAGATACTATTAGGCTTTCATCTAAGTATTCAAGTCCCATTGTCGTTCTAACAGTAAACACAATTGGAGTACACAAAGTAATCCGCCAAAAAACAGTTACTCAAGCAACTGGATATGATTTTGAAAACGTCAGACGTTTCAGCTAGTATCCACTAGCTTTCGTCAGTGACTGAGAGACCAGAGGGGAAAGCAGGTTTATAAACACAACCTATTGATTGATATGCAAATAAAGTGAAGACAAGTTTTTGGAAGTCGAAAAAGGAACAAAAGTCAGACAAGTCAAGACAAGATGATGCAAATTAGTCTGAAAGCTCCTGTTATACAGAACAGGAGCTTAAGTGTTGTCTGTCCTCGGAGCTGGGAGTGCTAAATCCCAAGTGCCGGAAAGATCGACCCGTAGCCCCTCTTCCCTGTTGAGGGTGGGGTTGTACATTCTTTCATATATTGCCTCTTTAACACCCCGTTCCCACCAGCGTGTTTCACGGTCTAAGATATCCGTGGACTCGAGTTCTGTATAACAGGAGCTTTCAGACTAATTTGCATCATCTTGTCTTGACTTGTCTGACTTTTGTTCCTTTTTCGACTTCCAAAAACTTGTCTTCACTTTATTTGCATATCAATCAATAGGTTGTGTTTATTAACCTGCTTTCCCCTCTGGTCTCTCAGTCACTGACGAAAGCTAGTGGATACTAGCTGAAACGTCTGACGTTTTCAAAATCATATCCAGTTGCTTGAGTAACTGTTTTTTGGCGTATCGTATTACCTGGATGTCTAACCTTCATCGACGTACACAAAGTAATCATCTGATTAATTATCAATGTCATTGATACATACCTGTTGATTTACGATGATTATTTCGTACAGACCTTCCTCCTCATCAGGATCGTCGTAGCCTCCAATCCAAAGGTGCTAAATCAAGAAACAAATATCAACACATGCACAGATTGCATCATCTAAAACGTAAATAAAAGATTTCTTTATTTAATATATAAAATTTTAACTTGTGATGGAACATTTAACTATGAAAATGTTTGGAAGGCATCAGCATAAAGATACACTACTGTTATTCTCCATCTTTCTTCGAAAATACCGTCACTATTGGTGATGTGGTCTTCGAATCCTGTATTCTACGAAATCAAAGATGAAAATATGTCTACATACCTCTGTTGTATAGTTCACTCCAAAGGTCTTGAGTTCGTCAAGCTGCTTCGTCATCCGAGTCAGGTGCTTGTTGAGCACATCTGCAGTAGGCTTGCCCACAAATGTCGACTGGTACCAGTAACTTTCCTTATCTCCTGTCCTAAAGTCAACCTAAAATAATAAACAACAAGGGCGTGGTATAGTCAATGTGAACATCTACTCTTGTACTGAAAAGGTCAATGGAACCTTTTCAATGAAAGAGTTTGCGTTTGCGTTTGCGGTTTGCGTTTGTAGGTCAGCTAGAAAACACACATCGATTGGATTGCCATGCGTCGGTGAACGTATTTGTCAAGCAGTTAGTACCATATAGTTGCAGTCAGAGTCGTATTATCACAAACATTTGCAAAGGTAAGGAAAGTCATGGCATCAGTTATAAACAGTGATATAGAAAAATTTAAGCAAAGCTCTTTTATGGCTGTAAATTATATTAAGAATGATACATATGCACCTATGATCCTATCTTTACCATGGGAGACAAAAAAAATGTACATACCAGGTCATCGACAGGCTTGGGTGGGTTGTTCTCGTACTCCTTCGGCAGCATCATGCACATCGTGAACAGTCTCACACATTCATGGTCTCCACTGTAACCCTGCAAAAAGGAATACCTTGAAGTCTTGAAGAGTTACTTACTTACTTGTTGACATGCATTCCCAGCTTCATGCAACAGAGGTTAGATTGATACCCGTAGATCTACATGTATGTCATCTATGTATGCCGAAGAGCCCTATTATAAAGCAGTGTTAACCACTGAGCTGGGAAACCCTTGGAAATGACGGAAGAAATGAAAATAAATAAAAAATTGTCTGACCTGCCCATACAAGGGTTTTGTCATCTGCATCCTGACGTTGTCCTCGTTCTTGCCGTTGATGTATGACAGGATGGGCTGGAGTGCCTTCTCCCAGGCCTGCTCGTAAGAACAGGACAGTGACGTGCTGTTGGAGCAAACCCACGTGGCTGTGGAACAACAGAAGCAGTGGATTTAACTACTCAATTAGATGCTGTAGATTGACTAATGCCTTGAGCAGGTACATGTACCTACTACTTAATGCACTTCTACTACAGGTGAGAATGCTATGAAGGATGAGAGGGATGATAGATTTTCAGTTTTCGATTACAAAAAGATCTAGATCTCATCCAAAAGAAACTTGGACAACTGTAGCGAGTAAAAGGAAGACAAGGCTTTCCCTCGACGAATCTGTATCTGAACAGTTATCTATCCAAAAGCTATGAATTGACGTGTAAATAAGGTGAACACAAATAGTTTTTTAAAGACATACCACTTCAACCACAGATTCCAATAGTAACAGACGAAAAGGAGTGGGTGCTACTTGAAACGTTTGAAAATTTTCAACATCTATCCAGTTGTCTCATTACCTTGAGGTCTAACATTCATCGACATTTAATACCAAACATGATCATTATCATCATCAAGGCTACCTGCTGGGTGTTTCATGAGCCTGAGGTTGTTCTCAACCCTCATGGCGACGGACATGTTGGGACACTCGTACGTGGTACAGCGGTCCCCGAACACAGGCTTCGGCTCGTGCCGGTTGTAGTTCTTACTCAGCGGGAGGTGGAAGGTGAACTCCGGACGGCCTTCCTGGTCACTACAGTCCAGGTCGGCATCTATGGAAAGCTGGAAACAATTCGTGTCATTTTTATAGTCTATCGCTCGGGCTCACCATACCTTAGCTCTAATCAAATTTGTGATGTCTTATACGAAACTTGTGCCCTTGTCTTTTGTTCTCTTTCTTAATTTTTTTTCTCCAAATATTCAAATTTATCTTCGATTTATAGCCGATAGAATAGAATTGTGTGCCATATGGGTTCAGAAGTGCAATGTTGCCCTGTATTGTGATAAAATTGGTTCAGATGTCATGAAACATATTTGTGAACATTTTTGTGAAAAAATGCCATTGACTTTATCAAGGGTTTTGCACGACTGTTTTTCACATAAAACAGATGAAATGCAAAATGAAAGCTGATAAAAATCATCGTACCTCATTGAAACGGTCGAACAGCCTAGATTGTGGATGATGTTCCCACACTCCAATGTGATCACCCAGAAAGCACTTCTTCTCCTCCTTGAGCCTGTCCACGAGCACGTTCGCTGTTGCAGTGGTGGTGGCTGGTTCGTAGTACATGTTGCCGCCCATGCACTTGTGATAGAAGTATCTGTGGTGGTGCATAAAAATAGCAAAATATATTATATTTTGTAATATGAATAGTTTAGAAAACGAAGGTCAATTTTTTTGTAGACTAGAGTGCCCACTGTAATGCGATTTACACAATATCTTTTATAAAATACAGTTACAACAAAAATATGTACATCTAAGAAAGGATGACATTTTCCTACATGTAATGTCTTTGGTTCACTATGATGCATCAGACAAACTCTGTAAATTCGTATACAAATGTGTCAAGAAGAGAGAAGTACAGTTTAGATATATATAGAAATAGCATAGTTTTCCCTAATCCTCATTGGTAACTAAAGTAGTGCATTTAGCCCCACTGGGACATGAATATGCAATTAACTTAATTGTCATTTTCATTGTCATTATACAGGTGTAACAAAACATCACCTTGGCAATGCTTTACTGGTTGATGTTGGGCTTCATACTGAAATGACAACTACAGATACTTTGAAATTACTAAAAACTCTACAGGCAAACGGATTTCTGATATTTTGGACAGGTGCAATAGATCTATACATAACTGTCTCTTACTGAATCTGGGGGTTCTTCTTCAAATGATAAACTTCTTTTGTCTTTGGACTCCTCAATCCGTGAGCATCGGCATTATCCAGGAAAAGTTCATGAAAGTCCTGCAGAATAGGGGATAGAAAAAGACATGAATTACACACAAGCATTGTTCTTCCCTATATTTAGAGCTTTCCCATCATTAGAATAAAATACACCTTGGACTGTTATTCCTATGTTGTTGTTTTTTTGCAAAGAGTAGCAGATCTAGATGCAACGACAGCGAAATCTCTATGATATCAACCAGACCAGACTTCTAAAAATCAAGGTTAAATATAGATAGAAGCATTCTGGCATTTCGGCATTTTCATTTAAAGCTCCACTCACCTGGTCTTTATTCCCACTTGCACCGCCTCTTGCAACATACACGCGATAGAATTTCTGGCAGCCGTCTTTCCCATCCAACTCGTCTCGAATTTCAACTGAGCCGATGCATAGGATGGCGACTTCAGAGGGTGGGACTCCTACAGTGCGTGAGATTAGATGGCGTTTGGCGTGAAAGTTCCTCTGTGTTGGTTAACAAGTTTTATGCGTTGAAAGAATATATTTACTTTTTACCCATTCGTAGTCAAAGCAAGGTACTGGTGTTTTTACTTTCAGGACAGAAGTATTGTTTTGGGTGGCACTGGTATAAGGGGAGTGTGTATGTATCTTGTCTGGAGCATCGAGGATCGGATATGAGTGGCGACAGGCCTCATGATATCCACGCTTTCAATCATTCTGATAAGAGGCAAAAGAGAAAGGAAATCATTGTGAAGTACCTGTGTTTTGCAGATGCTGCGCCAGTGGTTCTGTACCCGCTATGATAGCGGTGTCGTAGTGACAGGTGTAAGGGTTGACGCTGGTGTACTGAAGATCTGTGAACTTCTTAAGTGTGATGGTCTTGTCGTCTATTCCCTTCACCTCCTTCACTTCGGGTTCTGGACACAGCTTTGGTGCTGCAATAGTTTATTAGAAATGCCGTAAAGCATTGGCATTCATCTACCCGCATTCAAATGAATATACTTTTCTACTGCTGGTGTTGGGTATGTTAGTAGTGATTTTGTATTGAAGACACATACGACTGTAGTAGCTATAGTAGGGATTTTTTTTCATGAAAATAACCATCGATAAACAGCACAATGTACGAATATGTGTACCACATGTGACTGCCTTTATGCAGCATCTGTTCTACTGCCTTTACATGGAATTAGAGACGAGGAAGTTCTTTGCGTTCAGAAACTTCAAACTGAATGCGAGAAATATGTTGCCTTAGAAAGATAAAAGAAAGCAAAGGGCATACTATGTAACCCAATTCAATCACAAAATCACTTATGTCTCCTCTTAAAGACACAAGTAGTTAGCCTGGGTTCCATCCTGGTTAGTTTACGTCCGCTCCCACAGTCGCTACCGCCAACCAGTAGCGACTGTGGGAGCGGACGTAAACTAACCAGGATGGAACCCAGGCTAACAAGTAGTAGCAAGTACCACACACATACGTTTGCAGAATGTCTGAGAACACTGCTTCCGTGCCAGAGCCTGTACAGGGATGTCGGCCTGGTCCAACATGTGCCACGACCTCAGCCTGTCGTCGTCCTTCTGCAGACATGTCGGGAACGCCTGTTCGGCATGGTCGTTGAACTCGTGAACCCTGAACAGTCTCTCGTTAAGAGCAAAGACCCAGATCTCGTTGTACGTTTTAGGGCCGGACGAGGCGCTCTTACTGTAGGTAAAATGCAAAAATGTCAATGCAAACGGCATGTTATCCATGATATGATACAATGTGTGCTGTAGACTCACTCGCTCTCAGTGTGAGTCGTAGACAGTGCTTCATATTACTTCATTGTGAACCTTTTGTGGATACATTTTGTTTCAAAAAGAAACTTCAAATTCTATAAACTTGTGAACGACTACAAAGAAAAGGCCTTGCAGAATTAACCTATTGATATGGTATTATCCGTTTTCACAGCAACGCCAAGTCATACATACAGCAAAGCAACGAGTCTAAAATACCAAATTGTGACTGCTTGTACGAGTATATAAATATCTTATTGTGCACAGATATTTTCATAGCAAACTACAATGGTGAGTATCTGCATAAGCCCGATGTAGAATTGCGACTGTCATATTGAATTTGTTTATTTGTTTGTTTGATTGTTTTACCTGTCGTATTGTGCAACATAGTAGTAGTCACCGTCCCCAAGGAACGGCTCGTTGTTGTCTGAAAGCGTCTTGAAGAAGTTTTTGGCCTCCTTGTCAGCGATAAAGCCGACCCGGGGTGAATGACCCTGGAACTTCTTCACGTACACGACAGTCTCGGGAACGAGATCTATCACCACCTGGGACAGAGATTAAATCCCAATAGACTGCAATGCATTATGGGATGCAACCATACTCAAGCCAAATTCAATAAAGTGGCGTTTAAAACACGCCCTGGCGAGGTGATTCTCTTTTGATGTGAGTGATGATCATGATCTGTTTTGGTTACTGTTGATGGAGGTGCTTGTTTAAGTAAGTAAGCCAGTCATAAGTTTCTCATGAGGATTTCATAAACATGCACTTTAGAGATTAATGCTATTCTAGCATTCCCTCATGAATTATGCAAATTAGGACATGATTTAAATAAATTATGTTTAGCGATGTTCACCTTCATTGAACTTCCAGTATG